ATTTTATGTGACCACTCCTATCTATTACGTAAACGGCGAACCACACGCAGGACACGCCTATACCACCATCGTCGCTGATGCTTTGGCGCGCTATCATCGCCTCAAAGGGAATGATGTTTTCTTCCTTACCGGCGTTGATGAGCACGGTGCAAACATACATAAAGCGGCTGAAAATTCAGGTCTTTCCCCGCAAGCCTATTGCGATAAAATGGCACCTATATTCATCAAACTTTGGAAACGATTGAATATCTCCAACGACATCTTCATGCGGACGACAAGCGATATGCACAAGCGCGGCGCGGAGAAATTCCTCACTGCCCTTTACGACAGCGGGGATGTCTACAAAGGTTCTTATGAAGGACATTATTGCCGCCCGTGCGAGCGGTTCGTTCCTGAAAAAGAGTTGACGGACGAAAAGCTCTGTCCGATTCATAAATTGCCCTTGGAATGGCTTGAAGAGGAGAATTATTTCTTTAGGCTCTCCAAGTACCAAGATCGCTTACTCGCGCATTTCCACGAGAATCCAGACTTTGTCTATCCTGCCGCTCGGCGCAATGAACTTTTGAGCATTCTCGATTCCGGATTGGAAGATATCAGCATATCTCGTTCCTCCGTTTCATGGGGAATTTCTTTGCCGTTTGATCCTGAGCATATCGTCTATGTCTGGATCGAGGCGTTGATGAATTATATGACGGCACTCGGTTATGAAACCGATAGTGAGCAGTACCGCACTTTTTGGCCCGCTGATGTTCACACAATGGCAAAGGACATCACCCGTTTTCATGCGCTGATCTGGCCCGCAATGCTGATGGCTGCTAACCTGCCCCTTCCCAAGCAGGTCGTCGCACACGGGTTTCTGACGAAGGATGGCGAGGCGTTGAGCAAAACGCGCGGTATTTGTCATCGATATGGACTGGTGCCATCGAAACCTACGGATTGGATGCGTTCCGTTATTATCTCCTGCGCGAATTTAGTTTCGGAAACGATGGCGATTACCGTCCGGATCGTTTGGCACGCCCGCTACAACGCAGATCTCGCGAATGACCTCGGCAACCTCCTCAATCGCGTTCTCGGTTTAGTCAACAAGAACTTTGAAGGGATTCCCGAACCGACAACATCGGGTGAATTTGACAACGAAATCACGGCGATGGCACAGACGACAGCAGAGAAATTAGACGAGCACATAAGCGCGTGCGCGTTTGACGTAGCGTTAGAAACCATCTGGGAATTTGTCAGACGCATCAATCGGTATGTCCAACAGACGCAGGTCTGGACGCTCGCGAAGCCTGAGACCAAGCCGAGAATGGGCACGATCCTTTACAATAGTTTAGAGGCACTGCGGTTCATCTCTGTCTTGATCTCACCTTTTGTTCCGGACACCGCTGAGAAGATTCAGAAACAGATCGGTCTAACGGAATTTGATACTGTCGCAGAATGGGGGCGTTTACCTGTAGGATTGACAGTCAGTAGAGGGGAACCCATTTTCCCTCGTGTCGATGTCAAAAAACAGAAACAGAAACAGCCAAAAGAAGCAGCACAACCAAAACAGAAGAAGGCAAAGGAAACGTCAAGACTTGTTTCCTTTGCTGATTTCCAAAAATTGGATCTGCGAGTGGCGCGTATCCTCAGTGCTGAACCGATTGAAGGGGCTGACCGACTTCTCAAATTGCAGGTAGACCTTGGCACTGAAAAACGGCAGATGGTCGCTGGAATTGCCGAACACTATAAACCTGAAGCATTAGTAGGTAAACAGGTAATAATCGTCGCGAATTTGGAACCCGCCACCATTCGCAACGTCGAATCGCACGGCATGATCCTCGCAGGGAGCGGTGACTCCGTAGTCTTGGCAACCCTCGAAACAGAAATGCCGCTCGGTACACAAGTCAGGTAGCAACGTGAGTGAGCACCACGTTTGTAGCGCGATGCACGTCGCATCTGGGCGAGTACGCCGCAAAACTGTGAGTTTGCGCCTTAAAAAAACCTTCGTCTCCCATACCCGTCGAGATTCATAAAACACCATCACGGAACGTAGTGGAGTGATGCCCAGGATCCCATAGTTAAAAAAAATGCGAGACATAGAAAACATTCTTAAAACCCGCATTCAGAACGATAAAGCAAACACCTTTGCCATCATTGTACCGACCGATTCTGCACGTCTGAAGCGTCAGCGCGAATTGGTCGGTTATCACCCGAACCGGGCAGTTGCTGATTTGCGCGTCTATACGCTCGGAAGTCTCATTCAAAGGCTATATGACCAAGTCCGTCCATCCAGACAATATATCTCGCAAGGACTCCAAAACCTCTGGCTGCATGAAATCGTGGACCCACAGTCCGACAATAGTGATACCTACCGTTATGAAGCCTTTCGACCAAGTCAAGACCTTTCCGTTCCGGATAGTACACTGTCCCTCGTCGTAGATACAATTAACCATCTCAGGGAACGCGGCGAGACTGCGCTAAACATTGTAGCGGATAATCCTACCAAGGTTGACCTCGTTCATATTTATGAAAATTATGAGGCGAAACTCGCAGATCAATGGATAGATGAGCAAGGCAAACATCTACACCTCGCTAACAATTTCAATTCGGAATTCATGAGGAATGCATTTCCACAGGTTAATCTTGTGGTTGTTGAAGGGTTCACTGTACTTTCTAAAGCCGACATCAAAATTCTGACGGGCATTGCCGGGATGCCTAATATCGAGATGTGGTTCCGTACCGACTATGTTGAAGGAAATGAGAACCTTTACAGAAATATTGCTGACCTCGTCAGACAATTTGAAGCGGTAGGTGTAAACATTGATGCCGACTACGAGCGCGAACCCGAACTGCATCAACATTTCGCCAAAAACCTCTTTCGCGCAGAAGCAGAAGAGGTGAACTTGAATCACGATCCTGAGACTGCAGTTCAGATTAAAGTGTTGAAACCCGCAGACAGGTCGGAAGAAGTGGAGCAAATTGCACATCTGATACAGAAACATGTGTCGGATGACAACTGCAAACTCAAGGACATCTGTGTTGCCTATTATAACATAGGGCAATATCAGCAGCGCATCGCCGAAACTTTCCCTGCTTACGGCATTCCTTATTCGCTTGTAGAGATCGCACCGTTGACAAGGTCAGAGGTCGTCAAAGCGATCTTTTCGCGTCTTTCATCGCGCCAAGTCCCATTAGAGGGTGACTATTTCTCTGATGTCGAGCCTGCGTTACACACACGACTGTTTCACCCTGACGCGTTTCAGAGATATGTTGATGACCTACTCAAAAAGGGCAGGGTCATCCAGCATATTCTAAACCCGATGCTCAGAAAAAACCGGGAGGTCGTCGAAGGTGAGATTGAGGCGTATCGCCAATTCAATAGGATTGTTAAAGAACTTTGTAGCGTTTTAAAATCGGACGGGGTTGAATCGTGTTCCCTTGATGATTATATAGAGAAACTCCACCACATTGCAAAGCATACAAACTATCAAAACAGACCAGCGACAAAGGCAGAGACTGTCAGAATTGTTCAACTTGGTGAACTCAGAAGTCTGGAGTTTGATGTCGTCTTTTTAGGTGATTTTGTAGAGGGACGGTTCCCAGCCAATTATCAGCCGGATCCGCTGCTCCCAGAAATCCCTTATCGTAACGAAGAGGAGCAGTTACACGACAGCCGATTCATGTTCTATCGGGTGCTCAAATCTTTTCGCAAAGTGCTCTATCTTCTTACCCCAAAACGTGAACGGGCAGCGGATCTGATCCCATCTCCTTTTCTCGGTCAATTAAAGGCACTCGCCGATGTCCAAGAAATTGAAATCGCTGATCCTACACAAGGCAGTACCTCTGGTTTCCTCAGCACGTACAGTAATCACGTGTGGACATCTCCTGTCCCCTCCAATGAAAGTTTCCCTGCTGAGATTGCAGAGATGCGTCCCCTAATAAACCATGTCGTTAAGGTTGAAAAAAGCCGCGAAAATACACATGATCATTTGGATTATGAAGGGGTGTTGACAATAGAAACACTTTCTGCTGTCAACCGAAGGCGTTTGGAGAGTCGACGGGAGCACATTTACTCCGTTACAGAGTTGGAAATTTACGCAAGGTGTCCGTTTCAGTACTTTATTAATAACGTTTTAAAGTTTCGAGTTAAGGAGGATGAGACAGAGGATGAGTTATCCGGTCTTGAGAAGGGATCGCTACTTCATGATGTTCTCTTTGAATTTTACAACAATCGTCGCAACCAAAAGAGACTGCCTATCGGACAGTGTAACGAGGAAGCCTTTAAAGAAGCAAAAGCACAATTAAATGAACTGCTGGATAGTAATGCCGAAAAAAAGCGCAACCGTCGGAAGGAGAAACTTATCGGCGAGAATAATCTGTTTTGGGAAACCGATATAGAGAAGCTTCGCATTGCCCTCCACAAATGGCTTGCAGCAGAGCGCACCTACGGATTACCTGTTACACCTCGCTACTTTGAGGTTAGTTTTGGACAGGAACGTGAACTGAGATATCCAGAACTTAGCTGCCGTGAACCAATTACTATCGGCGACGTGCGTATGACTGGTAAAATCGACCGCATTGATATCGGCAACGGCACCTTTAATATTGTTGACTATAAGACCGGCAGTTCCACCGTTAGAATGCCGGAGATTCTCAGCGGACGGAGCCTCCAACTCCCTATCTACCTACAAACGGCAAAGAAATTGTTGGAAATGCATGGCGGAATCGGATTAGAGCCGGCAGCAGGCTTGTATTATAAAGTCAGGCTGGATCAATTCAACGCTGAACTCGGCATCGGAACGGAATCCCAAAACGGAGATGCCTACAGCGGTTACAATGGTACGGACTGGAGACCGGTTAGCTCAAGAAATGGTCAGTTGTTAGCGGATGAAACCTTCGATGCCCGGCTTGCGCGCGTCAGTGGCTACGTTCAACACTACGTTGACAGTATATCTAAAGGCACCTTTCCCCTCATCACACGCGTTGAGACATTTGTGGATTCTGAAGAAGAGGGCGATACGCCAATCACCCCCAAAAATAAGACGGAACCCTGCAATTACTGTAGTTATAAGCGTGTCTGCCGTGTCGGGGCAATCTCTGAAGTAACTCAGTCGGATGACTAACATTCTGGTTACTGTTTTCGGCGCGCGAGGTTTAAAACCTAACCTTTCAGAAAAAACTTGCACACTTCTGCCAAATCTGTTATACTTTCTTGGATCTTTTAAACACATTGCTTGCACGCCCCTTAGTCGCAATTGCAAGCGCACGTTAGAAAAACAAAATAGGAGGCTATTTTTTTAATGGCACACACATTACCAGCGCTCCCTTATGCGCACGATGCTTTGGAACCTCACATTGACGTAGAGACTATGGAAATCCATCACGGCAAACACCATCAAGCTATACGTCAACAACCTCAACGCTGCCTTAGAAGGGCTCGGTGCTGTTGCGGACATGGATGTTCACGACTTGCTCAGCAACCTTGATCAGGTGCCGGAAGCCAAACGCCAAGCCGTCATCAACAATGGTGGCGGACACGCCAATCATTCACTTTTCTGGTCCATCATGAGCCCCAACGGCGGTGAACTCGGCGGAGAAATCGCAGCCGCGATAACCTCCACCTTCGGATCACATGAAGCCGCAAAAGAACAATTTGTTACTGCCGCGACCACACGTTTCGGTTCCGGTTGGGCATGGCTTGTCCTCGGCGACAGCGGTTTGGAAATCTACTCCACTGCAAATCAGGACAGCCCGATCATGCAGGGACATACCCCGCTTCTCGGCGTCGATGTTTGGGAACACGCATACTATCTGAAATACCAGAATCTTCGTCCCGCTTATGTTGAGGCGTGGACAAACGTCATCAACTGGACACGGGTCAATGAACTCTACATAGCGAACGCCTAACTGCCATAACAACTTTCGGGTGTGGTAGGGTAGGCGCGAACAGCATTTCAAACCTACCCTCTACTTCCCAAAGTAACAGGCATACTTCGTCAGGCTCTCCGCTCAAAAGGGTTCAGTTCAATTAAATTTTCTTGACATTTCCCTTCAAGTGTGTTATAATTAATGGAGCGTAAGGATACTTCCTTTCAGCATGCCCGTGAAACTTCGTAAAACGGCGTGCGTAATTAACAATTAAATAGATTACCCCAAAAAGCGTTGAAGGGGAGGAGTAAGTCGTCCGGACTTGCAAGAGAAGGAGACTCATGGGCTGAAAGGTCTCCTCAAGTTTCCACGACTGAAGGTCGCCCTGGAGCTGCTAATCTGAACAGTCTGTAGCAATGTCTCAGTAGGATGAGTCGGTGTGATGCCCGTTAACGCATCCCAAAGAGTGCTCTTTCTCGTTATAGGAGGGCTTTGTAAGCCCGATACCTTGAATGAAAATGAGAAAGGGAATTGGAGTGGTACCACGGTAAGGTCACTGTGAATGTCCTTCTCGTCTCCAAAGTTGGAACGAGAAGGTTTTTTAATTTCAACTATTCCCTGTAGGGAACGGGGTCCACACCCCTCGACCCTATCACTTATGAGGAAAATTGGCATGGAACTTTCAGGAGCGCGAATCCTCGTTGACAGTCTCAAGCGGGAAGGTGTCGAATATATCTTTGGTGTGAACGGTGGCGCGGCGATGCCGATTTTCGATGCCCTGTATGGTGAGACCGAAATCAAATTGATTCCGATGCGGCATGAACAAGGGGCTTCCCACGCCGCTGATGGCTACGCACGCGCCACTGGGAACGTCGGGGTCGCACTCGCAACCTCCGGTCCCGGCGCAACCAATCTCGTCACAGGTATCGCAACCGCTTATATGGATTCGATTCCAATGGTCGCGATCACCGGACAGGTCTTCACCCACTATATCGGCAGCGATGCTTTCCAAGAGTGCGATATTATCGGTGTAACGCGTCCGATCTGTAAGCATAGTTATCTCATCAAAAATTCCGACGAGGTAGCAGATGTCGTCGCTGAAGCGTTTCACATCGCGAAGACAGGGAAACCCGGTCCTGTAATTATTGACATCGCTAAAGATGCCCAGATGCATGAGACACTGTTTCAATATCCAGAAACAGTTGACATTCGCAGTTACAAACCACAAGTTCATGGGGATCCGACGCAGATCGCGAAGGCAGCGGCATTGATTAAGGAAGCGAAACGTCCCTATTCTCTATGCCGGTGGTGGTGTCGTACTTGCCAACGCCAGCGAGGAACTGCGACAACTTACTCTCAAAACCCAGATTCCAATTACCGTTACGTTGATGGGCCTCGGTGCATTTCCCGAAACACATCCTTTGGCGATGGAGATGCCCGGCATGCATGGATCTTGTTGTGCCAATTACGCTTTTACCGATGCCGATCTTGTTATTGCTATTGGTGCAAGGTTCGACGATCGCGTTACGGGCGATCTCAGTAAATTCGCACCGAATGCTAAAAAAGTACACATTGATATCGACGCGTCCTGTATTGGAAAAAATGTACCCGTAGATGTCCCCATCGTTGGTGATGCGAAGAGTGTCCTCACTGAACTGAACAAACAGGTCGGCATAGCGGACATCGATCCATGGCGCGACCAGATTCAGGAGTGGAAGCAGAAGTACCCATTTGAATACGAGCAAAAAGCCGATAAAGTGATGCCGCAATACGTCATTGAGCAGATTTATGAACATTTCAGCGATGCGATTGTCGTCGCGGATGTCGGACAACACCAGATGTGGGCGGCGCAATACTTCAAATTCACCGAACCTCGGCAGTGGCTCAATTCCGGTGGTCTCGGTACGATGGGCTTCAGTCTCCCCGCCGCAATCGGTGCGCAACTTGGATGTCCAGACAAAACCGTCGTCAACATCAACGGCGATGGCTCCTATATCATGACGATCCAAGAATTAGTGCCAGCAGTTACTATGAAGCTGCCGCTAAAGATTTTCATCATCAATAATATGTATTTGGGAATGGTACGCCAATGGCAGGAATTGTTCCACGGCAAACGCTATTCCGCTGTCGATTACCACGACAATCCCGATTTCGCCTTACTTGCACAGGCATTCGGTGCCACAGGCTTACGGGTTGAACACACTGAAGATGTTGTGCCCGCACTACAGAAGGCAAAAGGGATTACCGACGGTCCCGTCGTCATTGACTTTATTGTTGATGAAGAAGAGAATGTGTTCCCGATGGTTCCAGCTGGTGCCGGACTCGGAGATGTTATCCGCGGGTTATCTTAACGATTTTTTTAACTATTGAATCTGAATTGCCCTTCCGTTGTCAGGGAAACCGTATTCTAATTGTTAAAAGACCTTTCATAACCTAAAAAATGTTCTTTACTCACTTTAGAGAATCAACACGGAATGCGCGTATGGCATTCCGTGGGGGTGGACAACGGACACCCCGCCCAGACATAATCGATAAAAAAATGAATCCAGAAGAACGACACATTTTTTCCGTTTTGGTCGAAAATCGATTTGGGGTACTCGCACGTGTGGCAGGACTTTTCAGCGGGCGCGGCTTTAATATTGACAGTCTCAACGTCGCCGAGACGCATGACAAGAGCATTTCGCAGATAACCCTTGTCACGCACGGCGATGCCCAGATTATTGAACAGATTTACCATCATCTAAACAGACTTATTGACGTTATTGAGGTAACAGACCTTTCCACCGACACCCATGTTGAACGAGAACTCGTCCTCATCAAGATTGCTACCGATAATCCTCAAAAACGCGCCGAGATTCTGCAAGTCTCGGAAGTTTTCCGTGGGCGGGTTATAGATATGAAACCTGCTTCACTTGTCCTTGAAATTACAGGTGATGAGGGTAAATTGAAAGCGGCGATTGATATTTTCAATACGTACGGTATCCTTGAGTTAGCACGCACCGGCAAAATAGCGATGTTACGCGGGGCCGATTTTTAAATTTTCCTTGCGGTTAAACAACGTGGATTAGGATTTTGACGTGCTATTCTGAGGAGCCGTCCTCCAAATGTAAAGCAAAGACAAATTATGCCATTTAAGGCATAATTTCATTACGGACTACGCGTTTGGTGCTAAGATTTAAATTTTCTTTATCTCACCGTCGGCATTCGGGCTGTCCGTTCTCATTAGAGATTAGATAATTTTTAGAAAAAGGAACAGACGTTATGGCAACGATTTATTACGATAGTGATGCCAATTTTGATTTACTGAAACAGCGCACCGTCGCTGTCGTCGGCTATGGTGCGCAAGGACGCGCGCAATCTCTAAACCTCAAAGACAGCGGGGCGAATGTTGTCGTCGGGTTATATGAAGGCAGTCATTCAAAAGCACGAGCGGAAGCCGAAGGCTTGACCGTCAAGACCGTTGAAGAAGCCGCAGCGATGGCAGACATCATTCAGGTTCTCATCCCTGATGAACGGCATGCAGCTGTCTATCGCGACCAGATCGCCCCGAACATGCAGCAGGGAATATGCTCCTCGTCTCACACGGGTTCAGCGTCCATTTTGGACAGATTGTGCCTGCCAGTGACATCGACGTCGCAATGATTGCGCCGAAGGGACCGGGATCTCTCGTCCGCGAGGTGTTTGAAGGCGGTGGTGGCGTGCCATGTCTCATTGCAATACATCAAGATACCACGGGGTCTCGCGCGCGATGTCGCGCTTGCTTATGCGAGAGGCATCGGCGGTACGCGTGCCGGCGTCATCGAAACCACGTTCCGCGAGGAAACCGAAACCGATCTTTTCGGTGAGCAAGCTGTTCTGTGTGGTGGCACCGCTGCACTCATTAAAGCCGCTTTTGATACGCTCGTCGAAGCGGGTTACCAACCTGAAATGGCTTACTTTGAATGCCTACACGAACTCAAGTTGATTGTCGACCTGATTTATACGGGTGGATTGAGCAAGATGCGCAATGATGTCAGCAACACCGCCGAATACGGCGATCTAACACGCGGTCCTCAGGTTATTGATGATAACGTCAGGGAGAAGATGCGCCAAATCTTGAAGGACGTTCAGGGGGGTGTCTTCGCACGAGAGTGGGTATTGGAAAATGAGGCGAATCAACCCGTACTCGGCGCACTCCGCCGACAGGAATCGGAATTGGAGATTGAAGAGGTCGGCAAAAATCTGCGCAGCATGATGAGCTGGCTTGACGAATAAAAAATCTCTTCCCCAACCAAGGTAGGTGCGGTTTTGCGGCGTACTCGCCCCGACGACTCTCACTGCGAGCAACACGCGCACTCGGCGTTGATTCATGCGATCTGCATTCCAACCGCACCGGGCTCAAAAAAAGCCTATATTTCGCTGATACAGCTTCCAATCCGGTAGTACGGGCGAGGTAACCTCGCCCCTACCTTTCTTCTCACATTTTCTGCTCTGTTTCTATGAATTTATCGGACAAAACGGATGCTTTCTTAATCCGGGAGTGCCGCCCAGAAGAGGCAGAAGCCCTTCTCACATTGTGGCGGGCTGCTGGAACATCTCCGAGCATCACAGATACTATCGCAGATATTCGAGGGGCAATAGAAAGCCTCGCGTCGGTGCTGGTTGCTGAGGCAGATCAACGTATCGTCGGTTCCTTAATCGCTACTTTCGATGGGTGGCGAGGGAACATGTATCGGATCGCAGTTCATCCTGACTACCGGCGGTGTGGTATTGGACGAGCCTTAGTCAAGGAAGGCGAGAGGTGCTTAGCAAAACAGGGAGTTAAACGCATCACAGCACTTGTAGAAGAGAAGTATCCGTGGACGATTGCGTTCTGGTCGAGTGTCGGGTATGAGATAGAGCCTGGGATCGTCCGGTTTTTCCGCAATCCTTAGATAAAACACACCGTGTGCCATCATACAAGGAGATTAGCCGTGAAATTCAGAGGACATCTACTGGACAACACCTTTAAGAGCGTTTACGGGCTCGCGGTCGCCGACATAAACGGTGACGGGCAGCTTGACATCATCGCTGGCTCTACAGGCGAACCCATCATTGCTTGGTACGAGGCACCCCACTGGAAAAGGCATCTCGTGACCGATCAGGGTAGCGGACACATCACTATCGCCCCTTACGATCTCACCGGCAACGGCACTCCTGACCTCATTGTAGGGAGTGGTTTCAATCGCGGGGTCAACGCCGCAGGTGGATACCTCCAATGGCTTGAGGCACCCGTGCAAGACGGACAGAACTGGAAAAGCCACCGCATCGCCGATGTCCCCTTCATCCACCGTATCGCACTCGCGAATCTCTCTAAGAGCACATCAACATCGGTTCCTTTTCTCATCGTTGCATCGATCCGCGGTGAGGACGGTAAACCCGGCGAATGGCATAGCCCTGGTTCCCTCTGGTGCTATGAATTGTCGAATACCCCGCAGGAAGCAGCCTCTTGGCAATCCCACCTTCTTGACGATTCCCTCCATATCAACCACGGTTTGAGTATCAACGATGTTGACCGAGATGGACGCGATGATGTCCTGATTAGTTGCACGGAGGGTTTAATCTGGTACGAGCCGCCTGTTGCACCGATGACGGACGATTGGGGCAAATGGATCATCAGCGACCGAGAGTGTAGCGACACATTCGCCGCCGACATTGATGGCGACGGTATCAACGAAATTTTAGCGATTGAGCCGTGGCACGGGAACAATCTCGTCTGGTATAAAGCCACCGGCGATCTGCGAACCGATCCGTGGCATCGCTATCTCATCGACGACACACTCAACCGAGGGCACTCCCTCGCCGCTGTTGACGTTGACGATGATGGGGTGCTTGAGGTTATCTGTGGCTACAACGGCGAAGGCACGAGTTTGCATCTCTACCGTCCAGAGGATCTGGCACAGAACCGATGGAGTAAAGAGACGATTGATGAGGGTGGCTTAGGCGTTGGACAGATGCAGGTGTTGGACATGAACGGAAACGGCAGATTGGACATCGTCGCCAGCGGTCTCAGCACCGGTAACGTCAAGTGGTATGAAAACCAACCCAGTTGATAAACTCTCACAACACAGCCTCACAGCATATCCTATTGCTTTATTCTAACCTCGACCACTCAACCCCAGGTAGGTGCGGTTTCCTAACCGCACCGATTCTCCAGAAATCTCTTAATTTCTCTGACATGGTTTCAACCTACCTCTCCCAATTTACTTCGGCTTAACAATCCTCTACAGTACTCAATCACTCCTCAATTAAAAGAAACATCCCACGCACCTATTCGGGTGTTTGCCCATTCCTTCTTCTTCTCCCGCTGATATCCAAGGCATCTGACTAAGTAATTCTTGTGAGTGTAATACATTTTTTGCGTGTTACTATGCAATTTTTGCATATTTGGCAATGGACAGGCAGGGAATTGCAAATGGATTTCTACTATATTTTTTTTCAATAAGTGCTTACATTCTTTTTAATAACCCCAGTATTTGCCTGTGTTTTAGACGCATTACGGTGAAAAGGTTCTTAGAGTTTTAATATCTTCACACAGATATTATGTTTGCTTGCTACTATTGGCACGTAATATGCTAATTAACAACTATGTCTGAATAATATATTGCAATTTTTGCATGCTGGAAAATGAGAAGAATCGCAAAACAGATCCTATTTCTTCGACTTTTTTGATGAATCTGGTTTCTACCTAAATCTTAGACGTGTCGCAGTGAAACTATTCTTGTGATTTCGGTTTTATAAGATTGATTTCCTCCATTTTCGCAACTAACTGTAAGGAGAACTACTATGTTCATTATGACAGAAAACAACCGTATCATAAACCTCAATTGTTACCCTAGCATTATTGTAGAAACAGACCGTGCGGAGCCTAATATGTACAGACTTCGTGCTATTAGTGGCACGGATTCCGAGGGTATACTTGTAGGATACCCCATCGCCACATTCAATGAGAAAGCAGACGCAGATTATGCCTATCACAACCTGTTCAAAGCTATGACGGCAGAAAAGCCTACGTGGAATGCCAGGACCGCTGAATCCCTATCTAGTTTGTGGAGTAAGGTTAAACAGGAGTTTTCAGAAGATGTCATAAGTCCGGAATCGCTAGCACAGTTAGAACTGAATGTTTCTGACTTACACGAGATCACGATTACGTATCCACGTAGGGGTAAGTCCGGTGCTCCCATTGGTTCTTCAAACGAAGAACCCGACATTGAGAAAAAACTAATAGAGGTATTAAATACACAACCTTCTACGGAGGTTGAATGGAAAGTCAAATGGGAGTCCGCTGATTAAATTAAGTAGACAGACTGTGAATAGGTGCTGCTTTCATGATAACCCAGAGATCTTCCGAAAAATCGTCAACCGCTCAGCGCATTCACCTAACATTACCAACTTGCGGTTCGGCAGTAAATGCGGCTAAAATTCTTGGGTCAGGGATACACTAAGGCGGTATCTTCTTACTGACAACTATTCCTCGATCACTTCAACGTTGGAGCGAGGCAAAGTAGTCTGTTGACCGTCTTTGAGCTCGACGCGTAAGACCCGCACCCGCGCCTCTGTTTCCAAGTTCTGAAGTTCTACCGGCAGTTCCGTGACGCGTCCCAATTTGCCGAAATACGGCTCACGGATGATGCGGACCGAGCTGCCGACTTCCAGAATACCTTCAGCAGTACCATCCACCGCTTCGGATGCTGTCTCGGCAACTTCTGGCACAATTGGAATCAAAATCTCCGGGCGGACAACCCCGGCACGAATCTGCGTCGCACCGTTGATGGAGGTTTTCATGCCTTCCCGCGCTTTTAAGAGTGCAAACGTTTGCTCCGCCATCGCGATGCTCCCGAACCCTTCCGTGATAACGAGCGTAATCCCGATCTCCTCGGACCCTGTAATGGCAACGCCGAGTTCATAGCCGAGAAGCTCCCGCAGATCCGCATCATCAATTCCCGCCAGCAATGATGCCTTTCACACCCTGTTGAATCGCTTTCTGAATTGCATCAGTCGTGACCAGAGAACCGCCGACCAGAATGTTGCCCCGATGTTCAGGCAGAATCTGTTCAGCAGCCAGTTCATCACTCGGAGCAGCCACAGCGACAGTCAAATTCCCGACTGTTTCGCCACCAACCCCGAAGATGCCTTGGATATAGGTGCCGTAAGTCTCCACTGTGACACCTTCATTTGGGGCGATCTCCGTTACCGTGCCATCCGTGTAAGCCTTGACTTCCACAGGAATCGGTGGTTCGCGGAGAATAACCTGTCCTGTGACATCGGACACGGCTTCGATTGTGCCATCAATTGGTGAACGTGCCTGTGATTTGAAGAGCCCAAAAAGTCCTTTTGTCGTGGCGATAATCTCATCTTTGGTAATAGCTTCGCCGACAGGTTTGAGCATGTATTCTATGACTTCTTCCGCGGGGACGCTGAGCAGGTTGGCAACGTTCAGCAGTTGGACGTTGCCCGGCAAATCTGCCTTCGCAACGACATCCTCTGCTTGAACTGTTGTACCGGCTTCGACAAGAACCTCACCTTGGAGCGGAAGCCGGCGTTCTTTCTGAATTGTCGTGCCTTTGGTGACCTTAAGACCGGGGGTATATGCTTGCGCCATTAATTGACCTCAATTTCGAGACGTAATCTATTTTATGAATCATTTATTTTGAAAGATGTTATTCCATTTTCGTTACGTTTGTAGTAAAATGCAATCAGAATTTAAAGGAGGTGGAACAACAATGGAAACCACCAAGAGCGTTGTTTACAAAACCGATAAAATCATGCCGACGTGGGCACAACTCGCTGAGATAGGACGCGATCTCAGGTTTTATCCAAGCCTTACCAAGCATCCAAAGGTACTGATCCAAGAACAGGTGACCAATTTCAACCGCGTCGGCTATATCAAAGGTATCCCGATTTTCGATGAGGCTGAAATCGGTGAACACCGCCAATACTTTGATGCCCTGTTAGCGAGCGTCATTGCAGAAGGCGGAAGCAGTTACTCAATTATCTCCGCTCACATGAAATACGGGAAGGTTTACGACCTTCTCACACACCCAAGGATTGTCGCCTGTGTGAAGGACCTGATCGGCGAGGACGTTATCGGTTGGGGTGCACACTACTTCTGCAAAATGCCGCACGACTCGAAAACCGTCGGCTGGCATCAAGATGCCGGTTACTGGCCCCTCTCCCCTTCCAAGACCGTTACCGTCTGGCTCGCGATAGACGATGCCGCCGTTGAAAACGGTGCGATGCGGTTTATCGCAGGTTCACATCACCTTGGGCATTTAACCGCTCGGCACAGCGATCCCGACGACAATAGCGTCCTGGGTCAAATCGTTGAAAACGCAGAGCAGCACGGCGAATCCGTGGATGTTGAACTCAAAGCAGGCGAAATCTCTATCCACACTGACTTACTCTTGCACGGCTCGAACGCCAATCCCTCGTCGAAGCGGCGATGCGGTCTCACCTTACGCTATTGCACCTCCGATGTCCAAGCGTCTTACCGCTGGAATAGGGAAGGTGTCGTCGTGAGTGGAAAAGATAACAGCGGACACTGGGGCAACCCACCGCGTCCGACTGTCGATTGATCCAATAGATGGTAAGTGTCTACAACTGGACATTTCCCTTCATTATAGTAAAGCCTATAATTACCTATACACATTAGCGTTGGCGAGGTTCGGAAACCTCGCCAGCGAGGCGGGAAGGTCCAAATCCTCGGTGTTCACATATTTTCGGGCTTTACTATAAAATTATACTACATTTGGTAGAAACAGTCAAAAAGGATCCGCCTTACCAAATGTAGAAGCAATCTGTGGGAGGGAAACCTTGTAAGTCCGAATGCCGAGACGCCTCATTTCTATTTCACATCGCTTCGCAAAAACGCTAAGACAGCCGCCATAAACAGGAGTAGCGAGAGTGAGACTAACAACATCAGATCCAACACTGCTCCTTTGAAGGTAATACCTAAAGTCAGATGTTCTGAGAACTTGGGAATGCTGTTAAAGGCAACCGGTTTTTGCGACAATCCTTCCTTTACAAGATAAACATGGTAGATTTCGTTGTCTGCTCTGTCCTCTGATTTGATGAAGTCGACGAACAGTTTTCTATAGCGGCGTGCTTGTTGGACAAATCTTTTATGTCTCGCGAACCCTGTGCCAGACAGAGATTCTAAGGCATATTTGTAGATGAATGCCGCGGATAGCCGCGTAAATCGTCCAGCCGCGGCTATTCTGCATCGTCGGGATCATCCTCAAATTCGTAGAAGCTGTCGAAAATCTCAATATCACTTGGCGCGTATTTCTCCCCATAAGCGGACTTGATGCCATTCCATAACCGATTTAAGACCACTTCACTCTTCAATTGGTTGTAGTTGATTTCTGCTACCGCTTTCTCTATGCAGTCGGCAACAATAACCAAAAGGATCTCTGGAATTTCGGCATCCTCATCGATGATATCGTCAACAGTTTCCCATACGGCGTGCTTGAACAGGGTTGGCAGGCGATTGATATGGTGGAGTACGACTTGTGTTACAAGCACAATAAAACATGACACGCGAGGTATAGCAATATCTTTCTCAGCATCGTGTGCGCCCAGATCTTCAGGTATGCCAATCTCCTCGACATGGGAAGCAACACCTTGATGGATAAATCCTACGCGAAAGTCAAAGTTCTTGTGCATCTCCTCTTGAAAAAGTGGTGCGCAGTGGTCTGGTGAAATTCGCAGGCACTCCGCTTTTAGTATTTGCTTGTCAATCGTTGTCTGTTTTTTCTTTCTCATCAGTTTTTGAGCTTCCCTCCGAAACCTTCAGACATGGGAGGAAAGCCCGCTCCTATAAAACTTAATAAGTTTAAACCGTATCCAAAAATCCCAACTCACGCAATCGGTCAATCCACTGCTGCCGTTTTTCACTGCCCGTTGGATTTGCGACCCAGCGCGGATCGTAGAGCGGCTCGCCCGGTCGATTAAATTGTTCAGGACTCCTCGCGTTGCTCCGCGCACGGTTGCGTGTGGCAGCATCTTCTACTGGAGTTTTCGGATTGTTATAGTAAACTGTAGTGCACATTCGACGGTCCTCACTACCACCCCAGCTGGCATGCCAGCACCGCATATCGAAAGCGACCACATCGCCCGGTTCCGATTTGCAAACATAACCCGGAACGTCACAAATCTCCAATCCTAACTGATTCAAGTTCTCCCGTAGATCATTGTGCATCGAATTTTTATGAGAGCCGGGAATCAGCCGTAACGCCCCGCTTTCCGCGTCAACGGGTTCGAGATAATATGCGAATTTCACCCCGTAGCAATCCTGAGTTGGATCGACATTATGATCAGGGTGCCAACCTGTATTGCCCACATAACGGTTCGCATCGGAAACAACGAAAAAGACATCGTCGCCGTACAGTTGCTCGGCTACTCCGCAGAATCGTGAATCTTCCGGCAAATTTGAAAAAAATGGTGTTTCAGGTCTCATCATCGGCAGCCAATGTCGGTGCGTTCCATCAAAGGGTGCGTGGCGATATGCCGACGCCATCGCCGCTTCAAACTCCTCGTGTATGGTGTTCAGTTCGTCTTGGCTGAACACTTGCCGAAAAACGAGGAATCCCAAGGTGTGAAAATGCTTGATTTGCTGTTCTGAGAGCATGATGTTCCTCCGCGTTTTGTGGAGTTATGAATCAACAGTAATTGATTCATTTGCCCAACTGTCAATAAAATCTTCAATGCTAAAATCAGTAGGCATATCGTTCGGGTTATAGTCAGACATCCGTTGGAAGCCGGGCTGATAGGTCTCCTCTGGAAGTTTCAGCTTTTCATCAAGTGGCTGGAATCGCCGCCACAGTTCGATTGCCTGTTCAGGCGTAAAGTGGTTTCCAAGATAGGCGATGTCTCGACCGTTGCCCCACAGGAGGCAGGATTCGCAGTTGTGTGCTTCAAGTTATTCAGTTTGCCAGCCAGTTTTGAAAGCATGACGATGCTCACCATCCCCTCGTATGGCGACGGATGCAACGCCTCCAGTTCAGCACGGAATCTGTCGGCGTCTCTGTTGATAATGGTATGGAAGATAGCGGCTATCCGATCGAACTCCTGAAAAAAGAGAGCGTCCCATGCCTCAAACTGTTCGCGTGCCGTATTTGAGAGATGGTGATAGAACCCCGGTTCCCAGTGTCGCCAGTGCACGTTGGGTAAAGTCGCAAATCCGAATGGGCGATAACCCGGATGCAGTGTACGTCGCATCTTACTGCTGTAATAACTTCCCCAGTGCAGCAATAGATGTGTGTACACGACACCGTCTCCAGCATTCAGTTCAACAGGTATTCCACCCGGCAATGGAACAGACGGATTTTCTGCGAGTTGTTTGTGCTCTTCCTCAGTATTAATCCGGCGGTGGCTGCGGGGGACAATCCAGAATACACTGTCGTCATACAAGGCGATATTCCATTGGAGATAACTCGGTCCGTGGTGTTCCATATTTGAGATCATTCCACGCAGTGGAGCAGGTTCACCGGGACCGATGTCACGATGCCAATGCATCGGACCGGCATCTCGACTGCCACTACAGATGCAGGCGAATTGGTGCGGCGCGACGTGTTCTGCTTTCATCAACTGCTGGCTAACCCCAAGCGTGTTTTCATGAAGCAGAAATTCGATTGCCGAACCAGACACTTCATCGCAGTCGGTGTCAAATTGCAGGCGCGGTTGGGCAGAACTCTCCCAATCGCCGCCTTGTGGATCGGTGGGAAAACGTCGTTGGGCAGAAAGTTCCTTTCTCCGACTGACCATGTGTTCGATATTACGGCGCAACGGTTCGAGTTCTACCTTCGGCACGACCGATCGCAGAATGTTGTAACCTTCCTCTCTGAACTGTTGTCGATCGACTTGCATGATATGTCTTCCTCTTTCTAACACGAGTTTCAACGCGCTAACTTCTGCTGTAATTTCGGGCTATCTATAACCTCTCGATTCACAACCCACGTTGGAATTTGCCCGGAAGCCACGTTGATGATACTCTCACACGTACTCTTGGCGTTGCCTTCAAAGCATTCATCCGTCCAGCAAATGCTGTGTGGGGTTACGATAACGTTGTCCAGACTTAAGAGCGGATCATCGTCGCTAATTGGTTCTTGTTCAAAGACATCGAGACCTGCTCCTTGAATCCGTCGATTTTGAAGGGCTTCTGTGAGTGCTTTCTGAACAACGATTGGACCGCGTGCGGTATTAATCAGATAAGCCGTTGGTTTCATCAGCCCGATACGTCTCGCATCAATGAGTCCGCGCGTCTCTTCGTTTAATGGACAGCAGACACATACAAAATCAGCGGTTCGCATCAAGGTATCCAGATCGACGGGTTCTACACCCACCTCTTCCGCTTCAGCAGGTGTGACGTACGGATCGTAGGTGATATGGCGCATCCCGAAAGGTTTCGCCAGTTTAAACGCCTCTTTTCCGATGTTGCCCATACCGACAAGCCCCAACGTTCTGCCAACTAACCCCATTCCCCTATAGTTTTGTGTGTTTCGCCAGCCCACCCTCACGGATGAGTCGATCCTTTATCAACAGTTGGTGGCTCAGCGATAGGACAAAGGTCATGATGGAGGTGGCAACGGGGCGGCGAACACCATCGGGGGCAATCGTCAGCAACACACCATTTTCGGTACAGGCTCCCACGTCCACCTTATCATATCCGACACCGAAGCGGGCAATGACAGCCAACCTCTCAGCGTCTGTGAACGTCTCTGACGTGATACCCGCGCCCAATACTAAGAGCGCATCATAATCCTGCACTTGTGCCGCTTGTAATACAGGTGTATTTTCTGCAATATATTCCCAGTGCAGATCTGCTTGGTCAAAAAGAGAAGCGGCGATGTCATCTAAATCGCAGGTGCCATCGGGTCCCAGGAAGTCCCGCGTGACACCCACACGAAATATGGATTTGTTCATTAGCTGTTCCTATTAATCTTAGTAGAATCTACTCCGATTCAAGTGATACGTTGCGGAGATATTTCCACCCTACTGGTGAAAGTTTGAGGTTCTGGACGCTTCTGTTGATAACTAAAATTCGTTGCGCATGTGCCAAGGGAACCCACGGGACATCTCTGTGAAAAATCGCTTGTGCTTCTTGATAAAGTGCGATGCGTTCGTTCTGATCGGTACGCATTCTGGCTCGCTCCAGCACATTTTGCATTTCATCGCTTCGATAGAAAGCGATATTCAGTGCGGGTTTCTCGGCTTTTCGATCCAAATTTGGCGGAAGTATTTCCAATTTAATGGTTGAAGTTTGAGATTTTTTATCATTTTATTAATGACTAAGATCTGTTTTGCATGCGCCAATGGGACCCACGGCATATCTTCGTGGAAGATCCGCTGTGCTTCTTGGTAGAGCGAAACTCGCTTTTCCCGATCCGAGGTTGCTCTCGCCTGCTCTAAAACAGATTGCATTTCATCACTTCGATAAAATGCGATATTTCCAGCGGGCTTCTCCGCTGACGACTTACTGAGAAGAAAGTAGAGGAAGTTATCTGGGTCACCGAGGTCGGCACTCCATCCTAACATGGCAATATCATGCTCCCCATTTTTTGTTTTTTCAAGATAGGTGCCCCAGTCAAAGGTCACGACTTTTGTCTCAATTCCAACATTTCGGAGTTCGGATTGGAGAACTTCTGCAAGGGCGCGTCCATCAGGAATATACGGACGTGGGACGGGTAATGCCCAGAGCGTTGTCTCAAACCCATCGGGGTATCCTGCTTCAGTGAGAAGTTTCTTCGCCAGTTCTGGGTCGTAAGCGTAATCCTCAATCGTATCGTCGTAACTCCAGAGTGTGGGGGGAATCGGGTTCTTGGCTGGGATTCCCAAACCTTGATACAGGTGTTCAATAATTGCTGGTTTGTTGATAGCGTGGTTGATTGCGAGTCGTACTTTGAGATTGTCGAAAGGGGGTTTGTCCATGTTCATCGCCAAGTAGCCGATGCTCATGCCGGGTTGCGATAACAATTCAAGCGTTTCATCATCTCGAATCTGTTGCAAATCATCCGGATTTGGGAACTCCATCGCGTGGATGCTGCCCTGCTGAAGCTCAATAAGCCGCACCGAGTTATCAGGAATAGAGCGAAGGATGACTCTATCTAACATAGGAGGTCCGCCCCAATAAGTGTCGTTTGCCTCGAGCACAATCTTATCGTTTCGATCCCACTGCACAAACTTAAAGGGACCTGTACCCACTGGATTATTGAAAAACTCATTGCCCCATTTTTTCACTGCTGTAGGGCTAACAATGGAGAAAGGGGTTATTGCAATCGTATAAATAAAAGGGGCATAAGCCGTTTTAAGGTGAATTTGAACGGTAAAGTCATCAACGGCGATAATTTTGTCCACAATCTCTGACAAGCCAGTTGCTATCCAGTAAATATAGCTGCCGCCAATTTTATGGAACGGATGTGTATCATCGTGCTGTCGGTTAAGGGAAAAGAGCACGGCTTCGGCATTGAAAGGGGTTCCGTCATGGAAAGTTACACCTTTCCGAAGGTGAAATGTCCATATCAAACCATCTTCTGAACTTTCCCAATTTGTAGCGAGGCCTGCTTCAAGTTCAGTGCTTTCATCTTTGTATTGGACGAGCGTATCGTAGATATTATCGCAAACTTTGAAGGATTCTCCATCTTCCTCAAGGGCTGGATCTAATCCCACAGAGTCGCCGCCGCGACCGAATATTAGGGTGCCGCCGCGCTGTAGGTGTGAATCGGCAAGTATCGGGGAGAACCCCGCAAGTAGCGATATTAGCAGAGTGAATAAGAGAATCCGTGTAAAAAATCTGTGTTTCATAAATTTCTCCGATGTTTATTAAAAAGATATACGGTTTATGATACGGAGTTTTCTGCAAAATGTCAAGCGGTTTTCGGTTATCGGTAACAAGAGGCTTTTGGTAAACGAGAACCTCTTTAACTCTCACTGCGAGGCAAACTGACAACTGATAACTGATAACCAATATCAGGTTTGAAACCCTTTTTCTCTAAAAATCGTTTTATTAATTGGGAGAATGTCTTAAAAATAGTAATAGGGTTCAATTTGCCTGAGAAATTATGTTATCTTTTGAACAACTCATCCAGAATTTAACGGACACAACGCAACCGAGCATTGTTCGCTGCAGTGCTATTGCAAATCTTACTTCACAAGGTAGTTCACAGGGAATAGGATCCCTAATTGAGGTGCTTGCTGATTCAGATTCGATGGTCCGGCGCGAAGCCGCGATGGCACTTCGGCAAATGGAGGCGACTCGAGCTGCGCAACCGTTGCTTGAAGCGTTGCAGGTGGAGTCAAACGATTTAACGCTTTGGGCAATGCTTGAAGCTGTTGCTGAGTTGGCTACGCCTGATGTCCTTCCCGGGCTTGAATCGCTCCGCACTGCGGGTTCTATGCTCACGCGGATGGAAGTGAAGAAAAGCATGGCTCGGATCGAGGCGCGTTATATCAACGGAGGCACCTCTACATTCCCCGAAGTGTCTGAACCTGAACTGCATGGTGAGGGGATAGAGACACATGAACCGTCGGCGACAGCAGATCTTACAGATTCACAAACCACTCCAGAAGAAGACATAGTAGAATCGGAGTCGAATGTTCCGCCTCACAGCGCGCAACGTCCTCAGGAAGTTGCGTCCGACGACCCACTCGTAGAACAGGTAGAAGATATAGCAGCGGATGAGGTATCGACAGCTGAATCCAGTTCGGAACAGCCGAGGGTGTTTATAGAAGCGACATTCGCGGGTCCTCCTATTGATCCAGACGAAAGGACTGAGGCGGTTCCAGAAGAAGTAACGGATGTCCAGGATTATGAACAGTTCGCTGATGAATCGGTTGAGGTTACTGGAGGAAACGGAACCCGTAGATGAAATAACTGATACCTCGGATTATGTGCAGCTTGACGATGAACCGATTGAACCTATAGATGAAACCGAACCTACAGATACCCTAACAACCGATAAGGAATCAGCACAACGAGAAAAAGAAGATCAAGAGATAAACGATTTAGCGGAATCTATTGCACGATCGTCTCGCCTTGCTGGTTCGTCGGTTAATCTTCCGGTGTTAGCACCCAATGCAGCCACTGTGCCGTATGATCCGAAGGGAACTGCACTTGAACCCGCACAGACGAACTTCTTCTTGACCCTAATACACCCCGGCAGGTACCTCTCCAAGCAATGGGTGCAACGAACGCGCGCTTATCTGATATTGTGGGCTGTTCTCGTTATCGTTACGATCGGTTTCACTCAGTATCAGAAACACACAAAAATGGAGTTAAGTCCACTCTCTCGTTTTGGGCTTTCTATCAGTGAACTACCGGAGTTGGTAAAACGCTCATTGGCGGAAGGTGATTTCTACATTCAGGAGGGATATTATAGAAAAGCCATTAATTCGTATGAGTTAAGCAGGGGACTCGGTGCCCTCCCGATTAGTTTCTATAGGAAACTCGGATTTGCGTACTTTAAGGAAGGTCAGCACGCCCTTGCCGTTGAAGCGTATGAACTGTTTTTAGAGGCGAGAGAGAATGAGAACCCCGACGTGTTTGCCGCCGAAGCCTCACTTGTCGGAGTCTATCCGCTTACTTCAGTAGGAGAAGGAACGACACGCGACTATGAAACCTACAATATCCTTGGCACAGCGTATGTGAAGCTCGGGCGTGTACTGGACGCGCAACGCGCCTACGAAAAAGCGATACATCTCGCGCCTAAATATGGCGAGGCATACAATAATCTCGCGCGCCTCTACGCAGACGATTATCCGAACCCTTTACTTGCAAGTATTAACAACTCACAAGTTTCGCACCGGCTGTCTACACATCCCGTTTTGCAGACTTCGCCAATACTGCGGTTTGCTGAAGCGTTAGCCTATACAGCCGTAACGCTGAACCCTGATGTCGCGGCTTATCACGACACCCTCGGTTGGGTTTTATCGAAGCGGGGACAAGTAAACAAAGGGATGAAAACTTTGGAACGTGCCATCGATCTACAGAGCGATGCTGTCGAGCCTCATTACCATCTCGCACAGGTTGCGCTAAAAGCCAACGAACGGAAGAAGGCAATAAAAGCGATCCGGAACGTGTTCAAACTCAATCCGGCTTTTGTATCGCTCAATACAGCGAAGTAGCGATGATAGAAAGAATTTAGCGAATGACAGAGAATTTGCCAACGCGCCGATCCTGTTCAGACGAAAGGACATAGATATAGACCCCGCTGCTGATGCCAAAGAGCTCCCAGACCCTCCTGTCCCTTTCATGTTCCGTCCGAGTAAACGATGCAATACAATGCCCACTGACATCGTAGATATAAATGTTAGTTCCCGCCGGTAGTCTATCGAATGTAACCTGATTACATTCTTCCACTGGGTTGGGATAGACAATCACCTCTGCAAGCGTTGGTGCTGGGAGCATTATTGTCAACATTCTGGCATCCTCTGCGAGATCGGCACCGTATATATCCGAAAGTTGCAATGCCTCAATCTGATAACGATTGCCTGTGCGGAAGACTTCTGGAGAGAATGTAAGGACAACCCGCTTCCGTGCTTGGTCAGGGATCGCCGAGCGCGGCGTGTAGCTTTCCGAACCGTTTTCTGTGTTTCCCTGCTTGTGCAGACGGTAACGTCCAGCGTGTGTCGCAGAGATGCCCATCGGTTTGTCAAACTCCAACAAGAGTTGATTCGGCGGTGAAGGCACAGCGGCATGCAAGCGCGGTCGTCGCGTTGGCACGACAGATATCGATGTGGATTGCTTTGAAAGTGAACCGTTTGAATTCTGAGACGCGATGGCGTACCAGTACGTTTGTCCTGTGGTAAGTCCAGCATCCGTGAAATGCGTCTCTCGAATCTCATCACGAATCTTTTTCAGTGAGTTCTCATGTTCTCCGCGATAGAGGGTATATGCCACTGCCTCCTGTACTTCATGCCAAGTCAGATGAACAGAACGTTCATCAATCGGTTTCGCCGTAATTTCCCACGGTGGGCTGAGCGGAACCCTTGATTGCGCAGTGGCAGATGCAGGTGTCTCGAAAACGGTCAGGGCATTATCACTGTTAAACAGCAGTGCCTTTGCTCCATTTCCATTCAAATCAGCCACAATCGGATTGAAAGTGCTTGTTGCCGGGTGGTGCCAGATAGGTCGATAGTCTATTCCGTCATACTGCACGAGATAGAAGTTAGGCTGAGCGGCGATGCACAGTTCATTGCGTCCATCGTTATTTGCGTCCGCAATAGTCATCCCATTTCCACCATCTCGCACGTCCCGAATGCGTTGCGTCCACACAGGACGATAGGTATCATCACCATCTGATTTAAAAATAGTTAAAAGCCAGTGATAATAACGGATATCAAGTTCCGTAGTGTCGACTCGGGTCCCCGTTTTGGCGCAGATAGCAAACTCGGCGTTTCCATCGCCGTCCATATCCCCAGCAGCGAAGAGTTGTGGAGTGCCTTCAGGAAGCGTGTGTATCCACGTTTGTCTGTATTGGTTGTTTCCAGTGGCTTCGTGTACGAACACTCTCCCATCGTTGTCCCCGGCTAAAATTTCTGTCCGTCCATCGCCGTCAAAATCGCCCGCGGCGAAATTCGCACTAATCCCGTTATTTCCCCACATTGGGTTTTCAAGGGTAGCTACAATTCGATAGTCGTTATCTCCGACTGCCTCGTATACCGAAATAGCGTTCGTGACATCGTCGCGCGCAAAGATTTCAGGTGTGCCGTCTGCATCTGCATCTACAATTGTCCGACTCCACTGCCCGCGCTGCTTCCCAGATGTGTTCCGTTGGAAATTCGCCTTGTGCGGGTTGCTCCAGCAAAAATGTCGTTCCTGAGGCATTACACAATATTTCTATGAGTCCGTCGTTATCTGTGTCTGCTGATGCCCAGGGCCACAGTGATTCGGGAAATGAAAAAATCTGTTTGTATGTCCCATTGTCTGCTATCTCAAGAATTTGCGCCGTGCCAGTCTCCATTTCAACGGCGAAGAGTTCCAATTTCCCGTTTCTGTTTATATCCACTGGCGAGGCGATAGCGTGCAATCCGCTGTCGATTGATGCGACTTGCGAGAAATGTGATATAAAAATCGGGGCATCGTTCACTTCAATCTGATATAACCTGCCGTTGTTGTCATCAATTTGCAGCTCTCCGACGCTACTTTCCACCGCTAATCGGTACAAATAAGTTCCCGGAGGTCCGCCTAAATCGGATATGTTGACGATATGGAGTAGATTCTCTGAGTCTGAATGGACAGTTCTATTGATATTTCCGTTTGCCTCAAAAATTTCAATCTTGCCTGTGGTTAATGCTTCCGTTTCCCACATCACCACTGAATTGAATTTGTTTCCCGCAAGCCATGGTCGTGCTTCATGCTTTATAATAAGAGGTGCCTCGTGCGTCACGTCAACAACCACTTTGACTCTCTGAATGTCTCCATTTTCGGATTTAACACTCAGTCGCAGCGTATACCTGCCTTCCGCTAAAGCAGAAGTATCCCACTTGTGTAGGCACGCACTAAACTTCGGTTCAGTTTGCGCAGTTCCCAACGGATACCATAAATCAGGAACTTCACCGATGCCATACTCCAGCCAGTATTCAGAAAATTCAGCACCGCCTGCGCTGCCGATGATTTCAATTCTATCGAAGATAACCTCGCTAGCTATCTCTGCGCCGATGATTTCAACTCCACCGTGAGATTGTGCTCCACCGAGAGCTTGTTGCAATGTCCGTTGCGCATCAATTTCCGCAATAAGCGATGTTGAAGCAGCGAGTGCGGCGTATGCATCAAGTGAACCGGCTCCAACGAGTTCGGTAATGAAAAGTGGCTTTGCAGTCGTAATCAGTTTCTCCTGAATTTCTATGTTAGTGGCGTGTGGATTTGCGGACAAGACGAGAGCCGCAACACCTGAGACATGCGCAGCCGCCATGGATGTACCGGAACTCTTTCGGTATTCCCCATTAAGTGCTGTGCTGAGAATTTCTTCACCGGGCGCGGCGATATTGATTGTAGCCCCGAAATTAGAGCTGTCATACAACTGTTTTTCCTGTCCAAGTCCCCGCAACGGAGATAACGGGTTTAAGAGCAGCAGGATAGTAAGAACCCACTGCCCCCGAATTGCCCGCGGCACCCACCAGGACACACCCGCGATGATGGGCGTATTCTATGGCATCTTCTATGATGAAGGCACGCACCGTATCCCCCCAACTCATATTAATCACCCGTGCGCCATTGTCGGCAGCGTAAACAATAGCGGCGGCGAGATCGTCGTTCTGGAGATAAGCACCGCCTCCATACTTGAAACCCGCTCTAACAGGCATCAAACGGCAGTTCGGCGCGATCCCCGCGATGCCAAGTCCGTTGTTCACTTTTCGCAGCGATGATACCGGAGACGTGTGTCCCGTGTCCTGTTTCATCCTCGGGGTCGTTATCGCGAACTGTCCAATCGCCGCTGCCGGGAAGGGTCGGTGCGTCGCTGAAATCCCATCCGTTTCTGTCGTCAACGTAGCCGTTTCCGTCATCGTCAATGCCATTTCTCGGAATTTCACCGACGTTTTCCCAAAGTTGCGAGCGAAATTCAGGGTGTCGAGTCGTAATCCCGCTATCAATGACCGCCACTGTTACTTGTGGTTTTCCCTGTTCTATATCCCATGCTTGTAGCATATTTAGGACAGTTAGACTCCACTGTTCTGTGTAGTTTGGATCGTTCGGTTCTGTTTCCGCACAGGATTGGTTGAGGCGATTCATCTCAACTGCTTCAATTGCACGGTGCCGTTCATACCGTCGCCGTAACGTTTCCAACTCTCGACCTTTTGGAAATCGAATCAGATAAATACGACGGAGCCGCGGGTGTTGTCCTCCAAGCGTGGTAGAGGGAAAAACTGGGAGAACAGACACCGCACCGAGTTGTCTACTCAACCTTTCGAGATGATCGCCGGACGCATCCGGATGTAAACGGACGATCAGTTCTCCCGGTGTATCTGTGATATGAGGAAAATCGTCTGAATTGCTTTGGGCAAAGACAAATTGCGAATTTATAAACAGGACGAGGATGTAGAGGTAGAAAGATTTTTTTGTCATATATTTAAAAATATGTAAACATTTTATCTTTTGTAATGTTACAGTACAGACACGCCTTGTGCTTATACTTTCTTTTAAAAATTGCAATTCTATATCTCTATCTGATATATTAATAATAAGGAATTCAGAGAAAAAAAACAAATTTTTCGTCTCCGTGAACACATAAGGAAGTGCAATTATGAAAGCCTCAGAATTAATCGTTAAATGTCTGGAAAACGAAAACGTTGATTATATATTTGGAATACCGGGTGAAGAAAATCTGGATTTGATGGACGCACTGTTGGAATCCAATATCCAATTTATTCAAACACGTGATGAGCGGGGTGCCGCCTTCATGGCTGATGTCTACGGTCGCCTCACTGGACGCGCCGGTGTATGCCTTGCTACCTTAGGTCCCGGAGCTATGAACCTTGTCACAGGGGTCGCTGATGCGAACATGGATAGGGCACCTCTCGTTGCAATCACCGGACAAGCGAGTTTAGACAGGATGCACAAAGAATCTCACCAATATATGGATGTCGTTTCCGTCTTCAAACAGATGACCAAATGGAATACGCTCCTTCACCTCCCTGAAATCATCCCAGAATCGATAAGTAAAGCCTTTAAGACAGCGACTGGAGAAAAGCCCGGGGCTACACACATCGATGTTCCAGAGGATGTCGCCAAAATGGAAGTTAGCGCGGAACCTATGCCGCATGACTTTCCCAGTGAATCGGAACCCGTTGCATCCTGTTTGCTGCGCGCCGCGCAGCTTATTAACGAAGCAAAGCAACCTATTATCCTCGCGGGGAACGGTGTTGTCCGTCAAGGTGCCTCTCGAATTCTGACACAATTCGCTGAGATGACGAATATTCCCGTTGCACACACTTTTATGGGCAAAGGTAGCATTCCCTGGACCCATCGACTCTCTCTCCTCAGTGTCGGATTGCAGGCAAACGATTTCGTCTCCTGTGGATTCGACAGGGCAGACCTCGTCATCGCAATCGGTTACGATATCGTCGAATATCATCCGAGTCTCTGGAACCCCGAACGGAATAAGAAACTCATCCATATTGATACACAACCGAGCGAAAGTGATGCCTCTTACGTTACCGATGTCGAGATGGTAGGCAACATCCGGCAGAGCCTCAGACACCTGATGGCACAGGAAATCTATCCTAAAGATTCAGAGTATGCCTCAAATACCTTGCGGAAAATCATACTCGACCAACTCGACGAACATCGCGATGATACAGGGTTTCCCATGAAGCCGCAAAAAATCTTGAGTGATGTCCGTTCCGTCCTCGCTGAAGATGACATTCTCATTTCCGATGTCGGCGCACACAAAATGTGGATAGCACGTATGTATCCGTGCTATCAACCTAATACGTGCATCATCTCCAACGGTTTCGCCTCCATGGGCATCGCGCTACCGGGGGCTTTTGTTGCTAAACTTATCTATCCCGAACGTAAATGTTTGGCAATCTGTGGTGATGGTGGCTTCCTGATGAACTCGCAGGAACTCGAAACAGCGACGCGAATGGGTGTGCCATTTGTCACGCTTATCTTCAATGACGAGGCTTACGGACTTATTGAATGGAAGCAGATGAATAATTTTGGTAGACCTGCACACATCGACTTCACTAACCCCGATTTTGTCAAATACGCCGAAGCCTTCGGTGCCAAAGGCTATAGAGTCGAAGGAAGTGATGAACTTGTGCCTATACTCGAAGACGCGTTCAGCCAGAAAGTTCCTTCAGTTATTGATTGTCCCGTTGATTATGCCGAAAACCTACGCTTAACCAACGAACTTGGGCACCTGACATGTCCAATTTAATATTAATGTGAGTCCGAATTTTTGTCTCTTTTATATAAAATTCACGTTAATATAAGAAGACTGAATTTTGATTGCACTGTGGCATAGAAAATGCTATTATCTTTTAAACGCCAGTCGTAGTCTTTAGTCTATTTACTTCGAGATGTACTTCGTTTTTTTAGAGGAGGGTCTTGCACCAAAAAATGGCAGTTTCAACAATTGAGTGGGTGGATGGCAGAATTCGGATGATCGATCAGACGCTGTTGCCCAATGAATTCAAGCAGATTTATTGCGACGATCTCCCATCGGTCTGGGAAGCCATCAAATCCCTGCGCGTACGTGGTGCACCTGCGATCGGTATTGCTGGTGCTTTGGGTGCAGTGCTCGGAATATGGAATTCCACCGAGAAAACCTATGATGCTTTTGCCACCGAACTTAAATCCGCTACCGATTATTTGGCGACATCGCGACCCACAGCCGTTAATCTCTTTTGGGCACTGGATAGAATTACCCGAACAGCGCAAGAAAACAGCCATCTTCAAATCTCTGAGCTCAAAGAGGTGCTACTTACTGAGGCTTTGGAGATTATTGATGAGGATAAAGCGATGTGTCGTGCTATCGGGCAGCACGGTATGGCGTTACTAAACGAAAACGACACTATTCTGACGCATTGCAACGCTGGAGGGTTAGCGACATCCGACTATGGCACAGCGTTAGCTGTTATGTTCAGTGCTCACGAGGCTGGTAAGAAGATCCAAGTTTACGCTGATGAGACGCGCCCCCTTTTACAAGGCGCACGTCTCACCACTTGGGAACTCATGCAAGCGGGCATTGATGTGACGCTTATCTGTGATAACATGGCTGCACAGGTCATGAAAGAGGGCAAAATCCAATGCGCGATTGTCGGTGCCGACCGGATTGCCGCAAACGGTGACACTGCAAACAAGATCGGCACCTATAATGTCGCTATCCTCGCAGAGGTACACGGCATCCCCTTTTATGTCGCCGCACCGACTTCAACCTTAGACTTCGCCCTTGAAACCGGGGCAGAAATTCCGATTGAGCAACGGGCGGCGGAAGAGGTGACAGAAGGCTTCGGGAAACTAACCGCTCCTAAAGGTGTCAAAGTCTATAGTCCTGCGTTTGATGTCACGCCCGCGGCATTAGTCACAGCGATTATTACCGAGAAAGGCGTGGCACGTGCCCCTTATACAGATAGTCTGATGGCTTTGAGAGACACATAAGCGTAAACCTTCAAGTTATGCCGCTTTCACAATGTTCGAGCGGGTGCCACTTATATCGAAGCAGTCGTACTGGTTTGTATTCATAATCCGGGTTGCAAACGCTATTGCCTGTTTTTCTGTGAGGTAACCGTCCGCAATCTCGGCTTCAAGGGCGCGTCGAATTTCGTTTCTCGCTTGAATCGCATACGCCATGGCACTGGTCGGCCACCCCGTATCGCCGCCGAAAGCGAACAATTTATTTGACGGTACGGCATGGACACACCGACGGAGGAAATCACGCGAACTATACGGATCAATACTCCACGCCCAGCAGAAGTCAACCCAAATATTACGATAATGCTTGGCGAGTGCGACCAGTTCATCGTTATAAGGGTAGGAGATGTGCATCAATACAAACTTGGCATCGAGATACCGAGCGAAGAGGGCACACATATTGCTGGCAGGGATGCGTCGCACTGGCATCCGATCGTTGCCAGCATAATAACCGGTGTGAATTTTGAAAGGGAGATTGTGTTCAATCGTGAGTTCAACGCCTCGCGCCCAGCACCAATCGCCGAGACAGAGCTGCGTCGCTTCATCAACCTCTGCGGCAGGTTTTGTGAGCACAGCATTCAGGGCAGTAGAAGCCTCAGCATCGCTCCTTTCGATCCAGTTGAGTGTGCGGTTGTAAGCGTGTTGTGATTTTACAGCGATAGCACACGCGGCATGCTTGGCGAAAATCGCCGCCATAGCGTGCTTGAGGGAAGCGAGGTCGTTGACTTCAACACCTGTCTCAGCGTGGATAGCACTCGGATCAACCTGTCCGTTACAGAATGTTGCCCATGAGAGATCGTAGAGAAAAAAATCCGGACCGGATGTGTCTGGTGTGCACTGCCAACTGAAATCATCTGTTTGAATGTGATCGAGGTTCGCGAGGTCGTGTAAGATGTGGTAACGTTTCCCTGGGGTACGAATCGTTTTCAGTTTTCCCTGTGCGGTTGCAAGTGCATCACCGGTTAGTTCGTCAAGTCCGTAGATGTGTTTCGCGATGAGGCTGACTGCCTCGCCGTATCCAGTAAACTGTGTCGCTTCCCACGCGTCTCGGATACCTTCAAACCGAGATGCGATGTCTTGAGACGCGTCCATCAGATTGCGCATCGCTTCTGGTGAAGCACCGGCTGTTACCAGGTCGGCTGGGACGTAGTTTCCGAATAGATCTTGGAGGATATCGGGTCCATTCTCAACCCAATCGGCTTCGCGCTTCATGTGTTCGTGTGTATCAACAAGGCGAATAGATTGAATGTGATGTGTCAAATCGGTGGTTGCCATACAAGGTCTCCTTTAAAAATTGAGATCAGGCTATGCGCAGTCTCATACTTGACAAATGTGTTGAATTATGATTTAATATATAATACCTTGGCAATTTACCCCTCTTTTTAGTATTATATAGTATTAGAGGGCGGAGTTAGTTCCAAAAAAGATGAAGTCCGCTCTATTATGCGCTATTATATAAAGAGTAGAGTTGTTGTGTCAAGAAAAACCGCAAATTCGGTAGAGCCTTTTGATGTCCGGTTTTCTGCTGCTTTTAAGCGGCACCATAATCTGATGGTTGCTCATATACCATGAGCACGCGACTGAGTGCTCCAACTTACGGTACAACGGAATGGCTCTGACAAGTTCGGGAGATTCATTCGCAGGCTCTCCGTATGGAAAAGGAATGCTCGCGCAGGAACGCGAATGGTTAACGTCACCTTCTTGAAAAGGGACAAGACCACAGGAGCATATAATGCCCACAGGACGGATTAAGTACTACAATTTCGATAAAGGTTTCGGATTTATCGCGCAAGATAGCAGTGACGCCGATGTCTTCTTACACAGTTCTGCTATTAAGCAGCCCGAATACGAAGAACTCCGTGTCGGACAGCGCGTAAAGTACAGTATTATTGAAGGTGAGAAGGGACTCGTTGCCCAAAACGTTGAAGTATTGTTGACACCGACGGAACGCCGATGGTTGCGGCAAGGAAAGGCAATTATTCCGAGAGGTTACGCCGGCTTCCCGGGTCAGGGCCAATTTATCAGTGATGAGGCAGTGGCTCCCTCTAATTATGATGCCAACGCATCAAAACCGATTCGGAATCGCCGTAACCATGATACATCTGTAGCACCTTTAGGACCGACAGCAAAACCACCACGCACTCAACGCCCGTCGGCGACGAATTTTAACAATTCAGCAGCACCGGCACAAGAGATGCAAGACTCATCTTCAAAGCAACTTAGTTTTGGCGATCTTTATATCCTTAAGCAGATTAATTTTGAAACATCCATGTTTTTTGCGTTGTATAATCATGTACAACTGCCTGCTACCGTCCTTGAAATGACGCTCTCCAGTTTGACACTCAATAGTAATCGGAGCGAGCAGCAGATCGCTAAAACGGATGTTAAATACTGTTATAAAGATGTCGATGCAGAGAGGGTTCAGGCATCCGTTGATATCGATGATACTGTGAAGGCGCAGCAGCTGACACAACTAACCCCTGATGTGCAAGCACCTGAGATTGATACCGAAGCCATTCAGCACGCCCGAAAAAATGGAACCTCTATTGAGGTTACCCTTCGCGAGGGAGAGTTCTTTCGTGGCATTATAGACTGGATCAGTCCTTATGAGATTAAGCTCGTTTTAGAGAACGGTGCGAAGGTTGTTATCTTCCGGCATGCTATGTACAGTTTTGCCATAGGTTAGGTGCCACTATGAAAGCATATCACGAACTCCTTGATGAGATTCAGCGCGACGTCGAACGTTTGCGTGAAGAATCGGGGGGTGTGCCGTGCCCATCTAACTGCTTTTCCTGCTGTCGGAACACCGCGACTATGGCGATAAGTGAGGTCGAGGCTCGTGACTTAAAGGTCGGATTGGAAGCACTTCCTGTTGAAATCCGCTCACATATTCGTAGGAAAGCGGAACAGAGCATCAAGAAATTGAAGGCGCACGGCTATGACGCTGAAAACATAATGCCGGATGCTGGCATGGAAGCTATTGGGGTCCTAAAAGGCACGCCTGAAGGCGAATGCCCTATGCTAATCGGTGGGGTCTGTACTGTTTACGAACACCGTCCGGTCATCTGCCGTGTCTGGGGATATCCGATTCATAGCGGCAATGAATTAGCCTGTTGTCACAAAACTTTCATAGGGAAACGTCGTCGCTTCCGTCCACTCAGTTACGATCGCTATTGGAAAGTGTGTCAGAATCTTAGCACAGAACTGGGTGCTACCCGAAAAACACCAAACTGCTATCTCGTCTCGCGATTGTTATCAAAATAGCCTAAAACATGTCTTCTGTGCTTCTCTCGTTGGTGAGGTTTTGACCTCACCTCTTTTTTTATGGTGAATGCTAAAAATAAGTATACACTTCAATAGCAACGAAAACCCGCCACCCCGCTGGCGAGGTTTCCTAACCTCGCCAAGCAGACACCTCAAATGAAGCCTAAATTTCGGGTGTGCTTTCACTCAACTCACGCAAAAACTGGAACGTGTAAATTCCGGTACGATGTCCGTCGTTCCATACCAGCCTTACCGCGTAGCGTCCGACTCGCTGAATGTCCACAATACGTAGATTTTCAAAAAAATCGCCAGAGGGTAGGATACGAAAAGGATCTTTTTCTAATCGCGTGGCATCACAACGTGCACACGGGCATTTTTGTCGAAGGATGCGGTAGGACAATTCGCTATGATGTGAATCTTTCCATCGGATTTCCAAACTTGTACGGCTTCTTTCAATGCGAGTCGGTTGGAATTTCTGCATGATAACTTCTCAAAAAGGATGCTTTCCGTTTAGAAAAAAACGGTTGCTAATTTGTGCGACCGAAGACAGTCTCGCAAATTAGCAACCGTTCCGTAAGTTGCACTTGAAGGATTATTCCTACTATCCGTTATTCGAAGTATACCGCATTGATTTCAATGAAATCTTCCCATTCTTCAGGAACATCCTCTTCCATGAAAATCGCTTCGACGGGGCATTCAGGTTCGCATACACCACAATCGATGCACTCTTCCGGGTCGATGTAGAGTTGATTGACTCCCTCAAACTCATCAGCATCCGGTAGGGGATGAATGCAGTCCACTGGGCATACATCAACGCATGAACTGTCCTTAAGGTCGATACATGGTTCACAAATCACATACGTCATGTTAGAAAACTCCTTTCCGCTTAATTTACGATAAGAGCCTCCATATCACACGGGCGGTAACTTCACTTAACGGACGAGGTTAGTCCCTATTTTTAATGAAGGCGTTACAAAAACATCGTCATATATGGCGTTTTTTTGTAGATTGTCTGCTGAGTTGCGATCAGGACACCTTAATAATACCACATGCAATTAATTTTGTCAAGTTACATTTGCAACAACACAGAGCCATTCAGCTTTCAGCGGTCAGTGGTCAGCAATGTCGGTATGGAAAAAAATTGACATATCTGAATTTATGTGGTAATATATCCATAGTCGAAAAGGTTTTGCCTGTAAACTCCTGTATTGCCAGCGCAAGTTTCCCATCTTAACACCCGTAGGAAGATCATGAGAGAACCCACCAGTAAAAAGTGGCAATTTAAAAGTTCTGATTTTGATAGCAGTTTGAGGTTGGCATCCGAAGTAGGTGTCTCGCCGTTTGCTGCACAACTGCTCATTAATCGAGGGATAAAAACTGCTGCTGAAGCGCGATCCTACCTTTACCCAAGTCTTGATGGATTGCACTCTCCTTTTAAATTATCAGGTATGGACAAAGCCGTAGAACGGATACACAAGGCGATCTCACGCGGTGAGAAAATCTGTGTCTATGGCGATTACGATGTCGATGGCACGACAGCGACCGCATTACTGCTCAACACATTCCGCCAGATGGATGTTCCCATTGATTATTATATCCCGAATCGGTTCGGAGAAGGTTACGGATTAAGCGAAAAAACCGTAAAAAAGATACACCAGAAAAACGAAGCGAAGTTACTCATTACCGTAGACTGCGGTATCACGGCGGTTAAAGAGGTTGCGTTGGCGAACCAACTCGGTATAGACGTTATTGTCACGGATCATCACCAACCAGAAGAGGAACAGCCGCCAGCATACGCCTTGATTTCACCTAAGATTCCGGGGAATGAATACCCCTACACCGAACTCGCCGGTGTCGGTTTAGCCTTCAAATTAGCACAGGCGTTAGCAGACGATACAGCGTTTCTGGAGTCTCAGCTGGATCTGGTAGCATTGGGGACCGTCGCAGATATCGCACCGCTGACTGGGGAGAACCGCATTTTGAGCCGTTTGGGGTTAGCAGAACTTGATAAACGCGAACGCCCCGGAGTTCATGCTTTGTGCGAAGTCGCTGAACATAAAATTGACACACCACTTGATGGAAACGCGATCTCTTTTAAGTTAGGACCCCGTATCAATGCCGCTGGGCGGATGGGCACCGCACACAAAGTGGTCGAGCTCTTCACCACCGATTCCGAGGATGAGGCAACTCGGATCGCCTCTGAAGTCAATGAGGCAAATAAGAGACGACGAAAACTCGGAAAACAGATTCAAGACGAAGCATTGGAAATCATTAAAAAAGAGATAGACGATGATACTGTCGGGATCGTTGTTGCCAGCGACAAGTGGGACGAAAAAGCAGAAGATGCAGCAAAAGGCAAAGAAAAAGGGGTGGTCGGTATCGTTGCCGCTCGTCTGAAGGAAACCTTTTACAAGCCCACCGTTGTCCTTGCAATTGACGGCGATGAGGCTACTGGATCTGGACGTTGTATCGAAGGAATGAACCTTGCTGATAGTTTTGTTGCCTGTACCGAATTGCTTGTGAAACACGGTGGACACCAAGCAGCAGCTGGGTTAACGCTCAAAACAAAAAATATTCCCAAATTCAGGAAGGCTTTCAACGAATACGCTTCTGAACATCTCACAGAGGAAGCATTGCAACCGAAACTCTACCTTGAGTTTGAAACGCGTCTTTCACTTTTGACGTTAGAGACGCTAAAAGAGCTTGAGCAATTTGAACCTTTTGGCAAAAATAATCCAGTACCCTATTTTGGTACACGACGCGTCAAAGTTAATGGTGTCCCTACCCAAATGGGAAAAGAGAAAAACCACCTGCGAATGTTTGTTAGCGATGGCACGGTGAAACGATGCGCGATTGACTGGGGATCAGGGGACAAACTTATCACTTTCAGACGCCCCAATATGTCACTCAATATCGCCTTTTGCACCCCAAATCAACGAGTGGCAAGGGACCCGTTCCGTACAACTTATCCTTGAAGATTGGGAGATCCACCCCGAAGGCAGAGACATGAACTGGGATGTATTTCCTAAACTCAGTGATGAATCTTCTGTAAAACTTGTTGACAAACGGAACGTTAATAAAAAGAATTATCTTTTAAACTTGCTTGCACGGGAAGAATCTTGTATAATTTATGTACGGGATGAAGAGATGTTAGATCTCCTGCTCACAAAGCTCTTACCGGACAGCATTGAGGGAATCGCACGGCACACTGAAGCGACACCAGAGGCAGAGGCAGCAGCATTATTGAAACAATTGGAAAATGGTGAGCTGCGGACAATCGTGTCGAGTAACACTTTTTCACGTCTCGGAGCGTTTCCTTTTGTTAAACACGTTGTTTTTTGCCATCTCGCACCAAGTCAAGATCTTTTTTTCAAACGGTGTGAATCTGCTTTTGTGACTCCTGAGACCTCCTATCTGCATTTCATCTATAGCGATACAGATGAAGCGGAGATGCACAATTGGATATCTAAAAAATATCCTACGGGTGACGAATTGCGGCAACTGTACGGAAGCATACGTGCGGTTATACAATCCAATGGCACAGAGGGATACCCTGAGGCAGAAATACTGAAGGGTGAATTGGGTGCCTTGTCAACACTTCAAACTGGACTCACTATCTTTGAGGAATTGCAGTTCATTGAGCGGCATGGGCAACCGGGCAGTAAACTCGTAAAACTCCTATCGGGTCAGAAAAGTGACTTGTCTCGTTCACCGACCTATCTGCGGGGAGAATGGATTAAGCAGACGAGTCCTTCTTTATAGAGTTTCAATTAAGGGAAAACATCGAATCTATGTGGGGGCGCATAGAACATGAGTATCAAATCCTTAGTGAGCCAAATTCAAACATATAATCCGGATGCAGAGGTTGAACTTCTTGAACGCTGCTATCGTTTCGCCCAAGAAGCGCACGAGGGGCAACAGCGAAAATCCGGCGAACCCTATTTTACGCATTGCGCCAAAACCGCTGAGATACTCGCCGAGCTTCGACTGGATACGCACACGATCTGCGCCGGACTCATGCACGATGTCCTTGAAGATACACGGATCACTCGCCAAGAAATGCAGGTGCGCTTCGGTGCCAACATTGCGAATCTCGTCGAAGGTGTCACAAAGATCGGTCAGTATAAACCCAATGTTACCTCCCAAGCCCCAGGCATTACAAGTACGATTGATCGCCGCGTCCACCGAAAACGTCAAGCGGAAACCTATCGGAAGCTCCTGTTAGCAACAGCGGAAGACATGCGGGTAATCCTCATTAAACTCGCGGATCGACTGCATAATATGGAAACACTTGGGTTTCTCTCCAGCGAGAAGTGCCAGAGCGTCGCAAAGGAAACGTTGGAAATTTATGCCCCGATCGCACACCGGTTGGGGCTTTGGCGTATCATGGGCCGCCTTGAAGACCTGGCGTTCAAGCATCTCTACCCAGTCGAATACCGAAAAATTGCCGAACTCCTAAATCAGAAGCTCGCTGAGCGAGAGGCGTACTGTGAGAAGATGGTTAGGCAGATTCGACAAGAACTCGAAACGCGGGATGTGTTTGCCGATATTCATGGGAGAACGAAGCATATCTATAGCATTTACCAGAAGATGCAGCAGAAAGGGACACCCTTCAGTGAAATCCGAGACCTGATCGGTCTGCGAATCCTTGTCAAGACTGAGGCGGATTGCTACATCGCACTCGGCGCACTTCATCACAAATGGAATTACCATCCGGATCGACTTCGAGATTGGATCGGACAGCCTAAGAAAAACGGGTACCAATCACTTCATACCACGATTCTTGATGATGGCAAACCTGTTGAGATCCAGATTCGCACGTATCAAATGCATAAGGTTGCTGAAGATGGTATTGCGGCACATTGGAGTTATAAGGAAGGAATACCGACGACCAAACAGGGACGTTCCATTTTCGCAAGTTATAAGCAGATACTTGAAGATATACAGGAGACCCAGGATAGTCCGCATCATTTTGTGGAGTCCATGAAATTGGAACTTTTTCAAGATGAAGTCTATGTTTTTTCGCCGAAGGGGGATCTTTTTACGCTGCCTGCTGGCGCGACAGCGATCGATTTTGCCTATAAGATTCATACCGACATAGGGCATACATGTGTCGGTGCGGAGGTCAATGGTGCTGTTGCACCGATTCGACGTGTACTTCAGAGCGGCGACCAAGTCAATATTCGGACACAGTCGAATGGAAAACCGAGTCGGAGTTGGTTGTCGTATGTCAAAACCGCAACGGCACGGAGTAAAATCAATCAGTGGTTCCGTGAAAAGGATAGGGCTGATGCATTGGAGTTGGGCAAGAAATTTCTCGCGGCGGAGTTACGTGTTTCCTATCTTAATTCCCGTGATTATCTTAATTCCCCGAAACTTCTTGACATTGCTAAACAACTTAAACTCAAAAACCTTGAAGAACTTTACGTCCGAATTGGCAATGGCAATGAATCCGCTACCCATGTCGTCAATTTGCTAAAACCTGAGGTGCCGAAACCGGAAACCGCACATCCAGAAAAGATCGATCAACGGAAAAGAGCCGAATCACCGTCGGCTATCCAACTTGAAAACGATATAGACTTGGGTATGATGCGAATCATGAAGTGCTGCAATCCGATCCCTGGGGATCCGGTCGTCGGTTATATCACACGCGGACGCGGGGTTTCTGTCCATAGAGCCGATTGTATCCGCATCCTTGATGAGCCAGAACGACTCTTAGCTGTCAAATGGAGCGAAAGGCCTCTTTCTGAGAATGGGAATCACCCACCTGCTGTCTACCCCATTAAAATTCTCGTTGAATGCAATGACCAACCCGGTATGCTCGGTGAAATCACGACTGCTATCGCACAATCCAAAGTGAATATCCGCTGTGGAATCTTCCAACCCTCTGCCGCTCACTATGATGCCGAAGCCTCTGACAATCTAACTATAGACGTGACAGGTGCCGAGCAACTCGATGAAGTTATGCAAACGATTCGGGGCTTAAAAGGTGTACAACGTGTCACCCGTCGGTCCTAAATTCTTTTCTTTCGGCAATAGCGATCTCCAAATCACTATTCTCTTCTATACCAGTGCCGGCATCCTTGAAATAACTTTAGCGACTTTTCCGCTCCGTAGACATTTCGTGCAAATGCGAATCCGTCTCGTTCCTTCCGCAGTTTGAACCCGGACCCGTTGAAGATTTGGAAACCAACGCCGTTTTGTATGCCGCCGTGATTTACTAATCTGGTTGCCTGTCATTGGACGTTTGCTACAGATAGTACAGACTCGTGACATTGTCTGTCTCCTTCCTTCTTTTTCTCTTAAAGTGTTGGTAAAACCTAAACATTAATAATACCACAATTGCAGAGGAAATGCAAATTTCTTTACAGACATGCCGTATGCTGTAGAAAATGAATAGTTTCTCTACTACGAGCGAATATGTTTGTAGTCGTGCGATTCATCGCACGTTCTAAAGGTGTGTATAAGTGGACTTGAAGCGAGCATAGAAAACTCAATGGCTCTGACAGGAAAATAGACATGACTTTTTTTACAGTCTCTGATATACTATATCCCTAAGATTTTGACTTCTATACTCCTGTTCGCAAACAGTGTGTTCACAAACCCCTGCAGATAGAGGAAGCATATTTTTTTCCCTAAACGTTTAGCATTAAAATCGAAAACATGAAAGTTGCTTATATTACCGCAGGAGCTGCTGGAATGTACTGCGGAACTTGTATCCACGACAACATGGTAGCCACGGTCCTGAAAAAACAAGGACATAACGTTTCCCTGATTCCAACTTATACGCCTACCCGAACAGATGAAACAAATGTAAGCCTGAACCGCGTCTTTTTCGGTGGGATTAACGTCTATCTGCAACAGAAACTCTCCTTTTTTAGGCATACGCCGTGGAGTTTAGACAAACTACTCGACAATCCGACGCTATTGAATGGGTTGGCGCGATTTAGTAGTTCGACAGACGCTCGAGACCTTGGGCAACTCACAGTTTCTATGCTCAGCGCAGAGCACGGACATCAAAGCAAGGAATTAGCGAAGTTAGTCAAATGGCTCGCCGAAGAGAATAAACCAGATATTGTCTATCTCACTAATTCCATGCTTGTCGGTTTCACAAGAGAAATTAAACAGGTATTAGATGTCCCTGTTATCTGTGCGCTCCAAGGCGAAGACATCTTTCTGCAAGATCTTATCGAACCGTACAAGGCAGAGGCATTAGCCCTCCTTCGAGAACGTGCTATAGATCCAGACGGCTTTGTGGCGCCTTGTGACTACTACGCGCAGTTTATGGCAGACGCTTACCTTAACGTACCTATTGATAGGATTCATGTGGTCCCGCTCGGATTAAACATGGATGGTCACGGCTTGCCTGTTCAAAAACCGGATCCACCGCCCTTCATCATTGGCTATTTAGCGCGTATCTGTCCCGAAAAGGGGTTACACATCTTGGTGGACGCTTTCCGTCTGGTAGCGGAAGCGTTAGGCACGGACAACGTTCAATTGCATGTTGCCGGTTACCTCGGCAAGAAAGACGAACCCTATCTTGAGGAACTCGTGAACCAGATTCAGGCATGGGACTTGTCAGGCAGTTTTGTGCATCACGGTGAGGTGACGCGCACCCAAAAAATTGATTTCCTCAACAGTCTGCATGTTTTTTCTGTCCCCACTGTTTATCGTGAATCCAAAGGGCTCTCGATTATAGAGTCACTTGCCAATGGTGTGCCGGTCGTTCAACCGCGACACGGCGCGTTTCCAGAGATGATTGGTGCTACTGACGGTGGAATCCTTGTTGAACCGGAATCCTCTGAAGCAGTAGCGGCAGGAATCATCGAACTCCTTAACGATACCGCTCGGCGTGAACACCTCGGAGAAACCGGAAAAATCAATGTGCATCAGAAGTTTAGCGATACAATCATTGCAGAACAACTTTTGAAAGTGTTTGAAAAGTATACCTAATATTTCAAGTGCTGGCGCGCTTTGGAAGTGCTCTTGCCACAACAATCAAGAAGGAAGTGGATTATGTCTAAAACATGGCTCATTTTTGCTCTCATGACCGTTTCGTCATGGGGACTTTACGGTGTTTTTCTACATCAGGGACAGGTCTCTATGGCGGATCCCGTGCATGGACGCTACAAAGCGTTCCTCTTTGTGGGACTCGCGTATCTTTTGGCGGCTGTCATCGGTTCCGCACTAATGCTCATCCTTAACGGATCTAATTGGCAATTTACAGGTTCGGGTGTTGCTTGGTCGTTCGTGGCCGGACTTGTCGGTTCTATTGGGGCATTTGGCGTGCTACTCGCCTTCGGCGCAGGCGGTCGACCTGCTGTCGTAATGTCCATTGTTTTCGCGGGTGCTCCGATTGTAAACGCCATCGTTGCAACGCTATCGCATCCACCGGCAGGTGGTTGGGGGGCAGTCCGGTGGCAATTTATCGCAGGCATTTTGTTCGCCGCACTCGGCGGTTGTATGGTGATGCTCTATAGGCCCGCTTCATAACATGTAGAAACAGAACCGCCGGACCTCTGACGTGCTATGTCTTGGAAAGGCGGTTGAACCTCCTATCCCCTTCCCCTCGCTCCGTTCGTTTTACGGAAAAACGCACTTTTCACTATCCTCTTTCTGTGACATGTCTCTAATAGGCAAAGAGGGAGAGTTTTCATGCCTATAGGCGAAACTTGCGTGCCAATATCACACAATCAAGAATTAAACGATGCAAATGATGCCGAGTTAGTCGTCACTGCGCTTGCGGGTAATACGCAGGCGTTTGATGTCTTAGTCACCCGCTACCGGCGAGCTATGCTGACGATCGCGCAACAGATTGTTCGAAACCCTACCGATGCAGAGGATGTCGTGCAGGACGCGTTTTTGCGGGCTTTTGAAGCACTCCCACAACTCTCTGATTTGAACCGTTTTGGGGCGTGGCTTCATTCAATCACACGCAACCGAGCATTGCGTTACTATAAGAGTGCCGGTCGATACCAACCGCAGGAAGATATGGAACCCTATTTAAATAGGGAAACGGATACATCTGCTGAAGATCCGGCTCACATTGTGGAACGCGAATTGACACAGCAAGCGATCAGAGACGCGATTCAGAAACTACCAACTGATTTCCGAGCAGTTATTGAACTTTATTATTGGGCAGAGATGCCACAAAAACGGTTGGCTGAATTCCTATCTCTCCCCCTGACAACCGTGAAGTGGCGACTCCATAAGGCGAAGGAACTGCTCAAAACGATTTTGGAAAGAGAGGGCTACAGTGAGGATATGTAATAATCCTTTTTTCATTGAAATGGTTCATTATTCGAGAGCGTTTCGTAGCGTAGCCTGTTAGGCTGCGTGCTATGATGCACAATCTAACAGATGCGACGTGCATCATGCTACAAAAGAGCAGCGTGCGTAAGTGCTAAAAAAAGATGGAAACTTCGGTTACTTTAACCCAAACCCGGTTAGAATTCACCAGAAACCACCGCGTAATGAAATTATGCCTTAAATGGCATAATTTGTCTTTGCTTTACATTTGGAGCGGTGCCCAGGAGGCCATAGTTAAAAAAATGGAACAGCAAAAGCAACAGGAACTTAGAGGACTTTTTCACATGTTGGAGCACACCGCAAAAATCGCAGAGGACGCTGCGTTAACAGGAGCGTTCAGTGGTGGCGAAACACGGTGCATCTCCCAATTCAACAACGTCCTCAGACGTCTCGACGACATCAACGCAGTACCTGATAGGCTCTTTGAAGAACTGCAAGCAGACGCGTCTTTTAGCCAGATTGGAATCGCTTGCCATCAGCTCGCTGCATATCTCAACGAAGAATTGGATACGACTACAGATTTCAAAGGGTGGTTCTCCAGTTTTTTCGGAAAACGGTTCATGGAAAACCTAACAGAGGAGATAGCAGACAAGCCATTCGGTGATATGATCCGCAAAGCTGTTCCAGATTTCTTAACTGAGACCACATTGGAAGACATCGTCGAAGTATTTCCTGTCGCTCCCGGTGGAAGGTTAACCGTTGATGCCGATTTCGGAGCAATTGACGTGCAGAGCGCAGAGGGTGATAATCTCTCTGTCCGCGTCCGACGTGCCGCAGAGTTGAAGGAAGATCGGCGTGCAGGGGAAATCCTCAAGAATTTTGATGTACAGATGACGCACGAAGCAGCGGATGTCAAAATTGAGGCGAAGTTCAGAGGTCCGGTAAAGCAATGGAAAAAGGCGAAAAAACGCTTGGATGTCCAATTTGAGATCGTCGTTCCGAGAAACTATGCGCTTGATTTGAAGACCGCGGATGAGGAAATCTCCGCTGTGGATATAACAGGAGATGTGAACGTTCACACAGCCGGCGCGGGGCTCCGTTTACAAAATATCACCGGGCGTATTGATGGAAAAACTTCCGGTGGAAACATAGACCTCAAGGCATTTGAGGGCGACGCGGCACTTCGAACAAGTGGCGGGAATATTACGCTTGAGGAGGGCACCGGCGATGTCAAAGCCAAAACATCGGGCGGAAACATTCAGATTATCGATGTCATTGGTGCTATCAACGGACAAACCTCCGGCGGCAATGTTACCCTACGCGGCTGCAAAGGCGGAGCAGACGTGAAAACTGCTGGTGGAAGTATAGAGGTAGAGAACGATGGACCCGTCCTCGCGAAAACGAGTGGCGGTTCTATTCGCTGCCAACTCCAAGAGGCAGTTTCAAGTCAAAACTTACTGCTGGATTTGGAGACAATAGGTGGTAGTGTAAATGTTTCGCTCGTTCCAGATATTGCTGCGACAGTCGAAGCAAGGGTGCTTGGGGGTTCAGTAACTACAGAATTTCCGGTAGCAGTGGAGACGGCAGGTGTTGTCAAGCCCGATCAGTTGCACGGAACTATTAATGGCGGCGGACCCGTCTTGCGACTCTTCTCCGTCGGCGGAACGTCATACTCAGGAAAGCAGAAGGGCACAACCCAACAGAGGTGTAACGTGTCAAAAATTTGACAGCGACACTTCGTCGGTGTGATGTCTTACGCCCTCGACCAACGCTGGCGAGGTTTCCAACCTCGCCCCTTCAGGTATCCAAGTAATTGTATATTCTATAGTTTGGAGACAATCATGGGGATACTCTCAATTCTCAGTTTAATATGGGGTATATTGGCTATTATCGGGATGGCAGTTGCTATTATCCCGTTTCTTGGGGCACTCAATTACCTCAATATTCCGTTCGCAGTCCTTGGATTGCTTTTCAGCGTCCTTGTTCTTATCGTATCATCAAAGAAAGAACTCGCTGTTGCTGGCTGTATCCTTTGTAGCGTCGCCATTTTCTTGGGCGCCATCCGACTCGTTTTAGGCTTCGGAATTTTTTAATCTATTTGCATCAATTCAATAAGACTTCCGCAAGGGGTAGATGAAACAAGAGATGCCGATTGACAGGTGAACACTGTTGGGATAAAATGTGTTTAATGAATCATATACCACACCGAAAGGAAAATCAATGAATTGTCTTGATTATGGACTTTCTTTTATCAACTCTGTTGGTAACGGGAATGCCCCCCGCTTTTGGGTCGAATCTCGATGCCGCATAATAGATAACACAGATGGAAGTTTCAGCGATTATTACCAATGTGGTTCGTGTAAGAGTGAACACACCTTTGCGGAGAAAAATCTCTTCATAAATCCAAACTATGACTTCCTCCCTGTTTTTGGTGAAGAACATATAGCGGTATTCAGAAGGCACGCTTACTGCAACGATAACTACGTCGAGTATAGACCGGCGCGGGATTATTGGGGAGGTGCCCTGTTTGATGTTCAAGAGGCATCGCCGGTCCGGGTACTTGATAGCAACGCAGCCATTTTTGAGGCGACACAAAAATGTCTACCCATCGTAACACACACAGAAATATGGGATACCAATACACATCAGCGGGCAATTATCGAGTGTCCGGTTAAAACGATGAACATAGATGAAAACGCAGGCATCTACCAAGTTGATACCGGAATTGTTCTATTTCCAGATCTGTCAAAGCGATACGATCGGCAGATTGAGACGTTCAGCCTCGCTTACGTTGCTTTCAACGCACCGCACTTCGCTGACTTCGTTATCGAACGCCCCACTGCCATCATTGAAAATGGAGTGGAAGTTACCCAAGTTTACCACTATTCCGAAATTCGGAGTTTAGAAGCAAAGAATACCGTGTTCTGCATCGGTGAGCTATAAATTTTCTTGCAAAAATTTTAGAGTCTATTTATAATGCGGGATTATAGCACCTAACCATGTATCAATTTCAACTGAAATTGTGCTATTAAAGCACAATTTATCTTACGTGCTCGATCTTTATACGGAGGAGAAAAAACATGAAAAGTGTTCGCATAAGTTTTGTTTTAGTGCTAATACTTGCACTTGCGTTCGTTAGTACTTCAAAAGCGGATAACCACCAATCCCAGTCCTTAACCGTTGTCTGGGCAGAATGGGACCCGGCTAATTATTTGCAGGAACTCTCGAAGGACTTTACCACCGAAACCGGTATTGCTGTCGATGTAATCCAGATTCCGTGGCCCAATTTCCAAGATAAGGTCTTCACGGCTTTTGTCGGAAAAAGCGATCTTTACGATGTTGTCATTGGGGACAGCCAATGGCTCGGTAGGAACTCTCAAGGTGGGAACTATATCAACCTGACCGATTGGATTAATGAGAATATAGATGTTGGTTCTATCTACGGACCCGCGATGACAGCGTTTGCCGAGTATCCAAAAGGTAGTGGAACATACTGGGCATTACCTGCGGAGGTGGATGCTGCTGGGTACGTCTATCGGAAAGACCTCTTTGAAGATCCGAATGAGATGGCAGGCATTTCAAAAGAAGTACGGCTATGCGCTCGCCCCGCCGAAAACTTACGACCAACTCCGCGATATCGCCGAATTCTTCACGCGTCCGGATAAAGACCTCTACGGTATCGCAACATGGTATAGTAAGGAATACGACGGTATTACGATGGGCTTCCAGCAGGTGATGTGGAGTTTTGGCGGCACTTATGGTGATGCAGAAAGCTACAAAGTTGCAGGGGCATATTAACACAGGTGATGCTGTTAAAGCTCTCGAATTTTACACGGATCTGCTCCAGTTTGCCCCTCCAGATGCCCCGAACTACTATTGGGCGGAGACGCTGAATGCCTATAACTCGGGTAAGGTTGCAATGGCGATGAATTACTTCGCCTTTTTCCCCGGTGTTGTAGACCCTAAATCGAATGCAATTTCTCACGACAAGAGCGGTTTCTTTATAGCACCTGCTGGTCCGAAAGGGCATTATATCAGTATCGGTGGACAAGGCATGTCCATTTCTTCCTATTCTAAAAACAAGGATCTTGCCAAGCAATACATGAAATGGTTTATGCAGAAGCCTGTTCAGGAGAAGTGGGCGGCACTCGGTGGTTTCAGCCCGCACAAAGAGGTGTTGCAGTCGGATACCTTTAAGATGGCAACTCCCTTTAACGAGGCTTTCGCCGCGAGTTTCCCGTATCTACGCGATTTCTGGGCAGTGCCAGAATATGCAGAGCTCTTAGAAGTTTGTCAGACAAATTGGAGTGAAGCCATCTCCAAAATCAAGTCTGCAAAGGAGGCACTGGACGGTATCGCACGGAAACATGAGGCAATCTTTGAGGACGCAGGCTACTACGACGAATAAAGGTTGTGAAGGTGGAAGTTTGGAGGCATGTTCCTTCCATCCTTCCACCTTTCTATGTCAGTGCAATGTATCTACCGGAGGAAATCAAGCACGAAACGGTAAGCCTATAGCCCCGAAGCGTGAGCCTGCAACAACGGCGCAGGCGGATTAAGAGAAAAGCACGCTAAACATGAACTTTACTTGGATCACTCCGCAAGGTAAAATTAAAATTCGTTAGAAATATATGCTTACCACCCACCCACATCGAGCGTCGCGCGGGATGAGCGACTACCAGTTGAAGATGGCATTCATCATGCCCACCATGATTTTGCTCATCTTGATGAACATCTTTCCACTACTGTGGTCGCTATACCTGAGTTTCCATCGCTACAAAGCCTCGATGCCCGCAGCCCCAAGATTTATCGGGGTCCGTAATTATACACGCCTCCTCGCCGATCCAGAGATTTGGGGCTATTTTCAAACCACTGCTTATTTTGTAATCCTTGCGGTCGCAGCCCAATTCTTTATCGGATTCGGGTTGGCGTTGCTCCTGAATCGGGACTTCCGGTATAAAGGCTTCGTCACAACGCTGCTTCTGCTACCGATGATGCTATCGCCTGTAGTCGTTGGGCTCTTTTGGCGTTTTATCCTCTCTTCAGATAACGCCGGTTTACTCAACTTTTTCCTCAGTCCGTTCTTAAAGTCGCCTATCGGGTGGACCACCAATCCAAAGGTAGCGATGTTAGCCGTTGTTATTGTGGATACATGGATGTGGTCCCCATTCATGATGTTGATTGCCTTGGCAGGACTCAGTGCAGTGCCGAAGTCCCTCTACGAGGCGGCTGATGTCGATAGAGCCTCCGCTTGGTTCAAGTTTCGATGTATTACCCTCCCGTTAGTATCCCCTCTTTTACTTATTGCCCTTCTGTTCAGGACGATGGATGCCTTCAAGATGTTTGACATCGTCTATGTGCTCACGCGTGAGGGTGGGCCTGGCACTGCCACAGAAACTGTATCAATGAACCTCTATAAACTCGCCTTTCGGAACTACAATACCGGTAAAGCGTGCGCGATGGCGTATATGCTGCTCATTATTATCGTTGCCCTGAGCAATATCTACGTAAAGTACCTTAATCGCATCAAAGGAGAGACACAGGAGACATAATGCGGCATCGGAAAAACTTTGTCCACTATCTCATATTGGCGTTTGTTGCTGTGGCTGTGATTGTCTATATCACCCCGATTTACTGGATTTTGGCAACGTCTTTGAAGGGGTTCTCAGATATTACCACAAAACTTCCAAAGTTTGTTTTTGAAGTATCGTTCGAGAACTATCAAAAATTGATGCCTTCGGAAGGTGTGCCAGGTGTGACATATCTGTTTTTAGGGGAGGTGTTCGTCGGATTATTGCTGTTCGGTTTTTTCTCGCTATTTAATGTGAGGTTGTCCCGTGCCTTGTCGCTCCGAAATCTCGGATTAATCTGGAACAGCATTTTCGTTTTAACGTGTCTCTATAGTTTTCTGAGTCTGCCGCCGCCTGCAGAGTCGTCTCCAGACGGATGCCCGTCTCAACTTTCTGCTACTCATCGTCTGCACAATTATAGCCTATCTCCTGATTGCCCCGTGGCGGAAGACTGGGGGACTGGCATCGCAAACTCTAAAAAAACAACGACTTACCTTTGTGTTGCCAAGCATTTTTGGAACAGTAGCGATTTGCGTTGCCTTGGCGAACGGTGGATCCAAGTATTTTTACCAGCTTCTCAATAGCATTATCATCGGTGGCGGTAGCACGATTCTTGCTGTAGGGCTCGGAACACTTGCGGCTTACGCCTTCTCCCGGTTCGACATCGCTGGAAAGGACGACCTGCTCTTTTTTATCCTCAGCACCCGGATGCTACCCCCTGTCGTCGTTGTCATCCCAATCTATCTGATGTACAGCGCACTTGGGTTGCGAGATACACACTTTGGACTGATTTTGCTCTATACCACCTTTAATGTCTCATTTGCGGTGTGGCTTATGAAGGGGTTCATTGACGAAATTCCGAAGGAGTATGAGGATGCGGCGCTCGTTGATGGTTACTCACGGTTCCAAACCTTCCTAAAGGTAATTTTACCGCAGTCTGTCACAGGGATTGCTGCGACTGCCGTCTTTTGTCTCATTACGGCGTGGAACGAGTTCGCGTTTGCCTTAGTCCTCACAGAGGTCGGCGGCAGAGCCGTGACCGCACCCCCTTCGATTACGAGCGCGACCGGTTCCACTGGTATGGATTGGGGAAAAATCGCTGCGGGGACCTTTGTTTTTCTTCTACCCGTTGCCATTTTCACCTTCTTGATGCGGAGCCATCTCCTACGCGGTGTCACATTCGGCGCAGTGAAGAAGTGATACTTTTCCGAATTCTGACAACTGATAACTGAATACCCTAATGGAATTTGACTTCCGCATCGGTTTCTGCTATACTTATCGCAAGACATAGAGGAGGGCACGCAAAATGAGCAATCACGCACTAAAACTCACCGATGAAGAGATGCGGGATTTCATCATCAATGGGTACGTCAAGGTAAAGGTCGATTTCCCGCCGAGTTTTCATGAGAACGCTTACCAACAACTCGACGCAATGTTTGAACAGACGGGTAATTTAGGGAACAACGTTCTACCCCTCATCCCTGAAATTCAAGAGGTCTTCGATCATCCCGTCGTTCACGGTGCCATGCAGGGAGTGCTCGGTGAAAACTATGCGATGCATTCGCACCGATACTGCCATTTCAACCAACAAGGTAGTGAAGGTCAGGATTTTCATAAAGATAGTTATGAAGGGGACGGGCAGATTCGTCGGCACCGATGTCGTTGGACGATGGCGCTCTACTATCCACAGGATGTCACCGAAGATATGGGACCTACCGCTGTCCTACCCGGCTCGCAGTATTACGAAACGGGTGAAAGTGCTCATGAACAGCCGGAACTCGCACTCTGTGGCGAAGCAGGCACTGTAACGATTGTGCACTATGACTTATGGCATCGCGCAATGCCGAATCAGAGTGACAAGAAACGGTATATGTTGAAGTTTCTCTTTATCCGACTCGATGAGCCACAAACACCTTTATGGAAGAGCGATACCGACAACTGGCATGCCCTCGGTAACGGGGAAGAATCCGAGCATCCGGAATTGTGGGAATCGTTATGGGATTGGTCTTACGGGAAACAGAACGGGACTACCAACGGTGTTTCGCACACTGAAGTGGATACCCTCATCGAAACCTTAGATGGCGATAATGAGAGGGATAGGCTAAATGCCGCGTATCGGTTGGGACGGGTTGGTGCCGCTGCCGTGCCTGCCTTAAAGCAGATGTTGCATAGTAAATCTGATGCCATCCGCGAGTATGCGGGATACGCTTTAAGCCTCACTGGAGCACCCGCGGTTCCGACGCTCATTGATGCCTTACAAACCACAGATGATTCCGTGCGGGCAAGTGCGGCGTTTGCCTTGGCGGATATGGGGAAAGCCGCACAGGAAGCACTGCCTGCGTTAACCACTGCTGCACAGGATCCCGACGAATGGGTACGACGACACGCCACAGAGGGTTTGGGACTCATCGGACAACAGGTTTCCGAAGACATGGATTTATCCGAGGTGGTGCAGGTCTTGACATCTGGATTGCGTGATGACCATTATTGGGTGCGTGATAACGCCGCTCGCGCTTTAGCCAAATTGGGTACGATTGCTGAACCGGCAATTCCGACCCTTGTTACGCAACTTGAAGACGAGAATCGGTATGTCCGTTTCCACGCCGCTTTGGCATTAAAACAGATTAAGACACCGGAAGCGCAAGAGGCACTCTTCAATCATCTGTTTCGCTTCGCGTTGGTGTGCGCTAACGACACGCGGAACGCCTTATTAGGGAAAACGTGGATTAAAAATTGGTAGGCGAGGTTTCTAACCTCGCCATATCTGTGTAGAAAAACCCCTCTTCTGTAGGAGCGCCCTCCCGGTCGCGCCCCCCAACTGCATTGCCCGTCAATTGCGATGATATATTCACGGTAGGAGGGAACTCCGATTCCCGACTGCCTCTTCTGTAGGGGGCCCCCACCCGTTACTGGGAAGGAGATATCCCAGTCGCGACCCTGACTTGAGGCGTGTTTGAAGATTCCCCAAGTCCCCTGATAAGGGGGTTAGAAGGGTTATAGGTTGTTCATAAAGGCGTTTGTAGCATAATCTGTTAGATTGTGCCATCGGTTCGCAAACGGACAATTTGCGATAGGAAGGGTTTATTATAGTAAAGTGCCACCCGTGCTGCATTCGAGCATTAACGGCTTGTGTTAATGTCGACAACCCTCTCCAAGCGACATCTTCATAGAGCATTCCCAGATGATAACGTTGAAGTTCACCGTATCGAACCAACACCATGGCTACCGGGCAACCAAGTTTTTCAGATTCGCACAGGCCTGTATACACACGAGGCAATTTTAGATTATGGTGCTACTTGGAGCAGGATTGGTCTTTCTAAAATAGGACAACGCTTTTTTGCTGGTATTCGTGCAGAAATTGAAAGAGAGCCGAACATCAAACATGTAATTGTCGCCGATTGGTCAATTCTACGTAAGTTGATGCAGATAATAGAAACGGAGAACGTCTGTTTTATGACCTATTCCGGAGAGAAGATGGGTGTAAACACCGATTCTGAAGAGGCAGAGGTCATCTGGATGGTCGGCGTACCGGAACGAAACATCGGTGTTATGTGGGAGTGTTCACAAGCCTTGTTTGGAAATGATGAGAAACCGTTCTGTTATGACAGAGAAATACAACCCTACGACTATAAGGATGAACGAATCCAGAGCGTTTATCAAGAGGCTTTGGTCAAGATAGTTACCGAGATGTTTGGACTGGCGCAGTTGAATCGCCAGAGTGCCAAGAAAGTAATGTTGCTCACCGGCTTGGAACTGCTCGGAATCACGGATAGACCTGAAACACTCCTGTTTGACTGGGAGGATTTTGAGATCGCCGATGGACTCGACAAACTCGCGGAGACAATAGCCACGCGCCAACATTTTGAAACTGAGAGAGCCAATCTAACTGCGGAATCCGGCAGAGATAAAGTGCAGCAGGTCCTCGGGTGCTCTAAAGTTCATGCCAACCGTGTCCTGAATAAATTGAGGGGCGGGAATCTCCGGTGTGCAACCTTTCGCGAACAGATCCTCTCTCTCCTTGGTGATGGTGAGAAAAAGGCAGCTGAAGTGGTTGCGGCTATTGAGGGAAACCCAAAAGCGATAAACCATGAACTCGTGAGACTTGCCAATACTGGTGAGATTGTAAAGGTCCGGTGGGGTGTGTATGACCTTCCGAAAATATAAGGTTTTAGCGTTACACGATGAACCATATTCCGACTCGGGCTGTAAAGATTCCGAGAATCGCGCCTGCCAGAACATCAGTAGGATAATGGACCCCAAGATATACACGTGCAATACCAACCGTACTTGCCCAGAGAAGCGTTGGAATTCGTAAAACTGGGAAGAAGTTTGTCAACAGTGTCATCATCAGAAAAGCCGAGGCAGTGTGGCCTGATGGGAAGCTAAACTGGTCGGGCGGGCGAACTCGAAATTGAACGTCCACAATTCCTTCACAAGGTCGGTCGCGTTTCATTGACTGTTTAAGAAGGTGATATAGCAGTCTCTCAAGTGGGAATGCGAGTAGCGCTGACAGAAGAAATGATTTGCTAACGGCGGAACTAAATGTCAGATACACATAGAACCCCAGGAGCGGATAAAAGCACCCGTTAGCACTCCAGGAGATGATGCGAAATGAGCGACTCAGGATTCTTCTATCACCCCAACCAAAATACGGTTAAACAGTAACGTATCCCATCGGGTTAGACTATTTGTAAATTCTCTAAGCATAGTTTACAAAGTGAGCAGGCACGCTTACAACACAAACCTGCTGTATCTTTTACCTCCACCTGTATGTATTATCTGAATATATTTGACCAAACGTTCAAAGTCTTATAGTTCGATTGTCGCTGTTTAATTACTTCCAGGATTCTCATCACCTCTTCTGCATCTCCAATTTGATTAAAATTGTAGTGGAAGTATGTTGCATATTTTTAACCAGCATATCATTTTTATATAAAAAATATTGAACAAAATTGTGTCAATATTTTTGATTCATACCCTAACATTGTGTGTAACCCTCACAGAGAATGTGGATCCACGTAATCGGCGAGGTCTCGGAGCGCGATAACTTTGTAATCGTTTTCGTAGAGATACGCCATATAGTCTTCAAATTGCTCTGGCTCTGTGTGAACCCATGGATGCTCAATATCCGGTACACCGTGGAACGTAAGGACAGTGATATTTCCATCTTTTGCTTGGGTAAGTGCCCACGTAAAGTCATCAAAGTTCCAATTGGGACCGGAGGCTCCTGTCGTCGGAACCAAGAGGGGATGATGCAAGGTTGGATTGTAAGCAGGTCCGCGGTCACCTTCTCCGCTGTAAGGGAACTCTGGAGCGACGCCGCGTCGGGCAAAATGAAAGCCGTGTTCAGCGAGAACGTGGACAGCCGCTTCACCGTGGCTATAACCCGGGTAACAGAACGTTGTCGGCTTTGAAATACGGTAAGTCTCGCAACGAGCGTCAATATGTGCTAAATCCGCACTGAGTTCCTCGGCGGGTTGCTGCGTGACGTTTCGGTGGTGGCGAGTGTGATTCCCAATTTCAAAACCATCGTCGTGTAGTCCTCGTACGTCTTCCCACGTCATATAGGCTTCTTTATGGGTGAGAAAGTTGAGTCCTTCGGTGATATAGAAGGTTGCACCGAAGCCGTAAGCCTTGAGGATCGGCGCGGCGAAAGTCGCCTGTGATTTGCACCCGTCGTCAAAGGTAAGCACGACAAGTTTATCGGGGATAGTCTTCTGCAAAACGTTTTTCATCTGGCAAATTTCATACCTATATGGAACATTAAAAAAACTAATACTCTGCTGGACTCTTAATTATAGACGCATACTGCTATTTAAATCAAGGAAAAAATCTGATACTGTAGGACTATTCAGTTTTCGGAAACCTTCTGTCGGTTCTGTGGAATAAATCGCGACCGGGAGATCGCTCCTACAGCGAGGTATCCGAATTCCGACAGTAGTGGCTTTCAACTATCAGGGGCAGGAATGACCAATTTCCGATCCAAACAGTCTTCTATACTGACGGCTGACCACCCTTCTTGTAGGAACGAGCTGTGATCGCGATTCTTGCTGATTGTTGACCGCTGACTGCCGATGGCTATTCTGCTGACAACTGAATACTATTGGACATATTTTTTCTTATGTGGTAATATATACGTTAATATTTATCGTGCATCCTCACAGTGCGCGAACTATGTTAAATGGAGGGACACACAATGGGCATGCCTGGGATTACGGAATTAATAATAATCTTGGCAATCGTCTTTCTCCTGTTTGGTGCGAAGCGACTCCCTGACTTAGCGAAGGGACTCGGACAAAGCATCACAAACTTCAAGGCTGGGCTCAGTGAGGAGCAGACTGAGCAGACTGAGCAGACTGAGCAGACTGACGCATCAGCACAGCAAGAGAAAAGACACCACAAAACGAAAAGACCGAGTAACCAGACGATAAGCACTGTTCTCTGAATTCGCAGGCATCGAAATTCGGAGACCACTCCTACAGGAAAATAGGAGATCTTTTGATGCAAGATAAATTACCCGATTTTCTTCAGAATGTGATTGAAGAATATCCCGATGTTTGGAAAGCGTATCAGGCATTGGGTGAAGCGTGTGGCACCGCAGGTCCTCTTGAACCGAAAACCGTGAGGCTTGTTAAACTCGCATTGGCTATCGGTGCGAAGTCTGAAGGCGCAGTACACTCGCATGCCCGGCGTGCTCTCCGAGAAGGCATTACGCCAGAGGAGTTACAACAGGTAGCACTGCTCGCGGTGACTTCTATCGGCTGGTCTTCGAGTATGGCGGCATTGTCTTGGATTCAAGATGTCGTGGACAAACAATCGTAGTTTGATCGGGAAAATCAGCATGGACGCAGGTTATAAATGCCGCGCCTTGACGCTTGGAAAGCACACCTACAGGATTTTAATCCTCACTGCTATCCTCTTATGGATTACTCCGTCTGTTAGCAGGACCGAAACGACATCAGCGTTTCAGCAGGGCGTTGAATATGTCAAACTTCGGCTCTATCCACAAGCAGTGGATACCTTTAAATCGATCTTATCACGCGATCCGACAGATGTGAACGCGCTTTTCCAACTGGCAAATGTCTATAAATTGCAAGATGAACTGGCGTTAGCGATTCAGACGTTTAACACCGTTTTGGCGCAACTTACAGCCCAGTTAATATTCAAACGGCAAAACTTGCCGTTGAATGCCACAACTGCAGATTCGGAATCCGCCCTGACAACAGAGCGGATTCACGGGTTAACGCACCTCGCGCTATCAGAAGTCTACTGCAAGCAGAGCAAATTGGACATCGCAGAACGGCACGCCAAGGAAGCCGTTCAGAGGTATCCCACGGATGCGAATACGCATTACCGGCTCGGTTATATCTACACACATCAAGCGAAATTTGACGCTGCACTCACCTCCTTCAAACGCACCCTCGCACACAACCCCGATTTTGCCGAAGTTTATGAATGGCTCGGCTTGATTGCCCTCATGCAACAGAAGCCACAGCAAGCGGTAGCGTATTACCAGAAGGCAATCGAGAGAAAGCCGTACGTTCAGAGTGCCTATTACAACCTTGCTAAGGCTTACCGACTCCTTGGTAATGTACCGGCAGCGACGGAACAACTTAAGGTGTTCCAGCAGATGAAAACCTATTATGACCGGACCTACGCAATCGAAAGTGCTTTGGCAGAAGATCCAATGAACACGACGCTTCGACTGAAATTGGCAGAGGTCCATCTGGCGCACAAACACATCTCGGCAGCAATTACGACATATCAAAATCTGATTCGGTTGAATCCCAGAGTTGGTGGCTGGATACGATAAATTGGGACGACTCTACATGAATCTCAATATGCCACAGCGCGCCATTCCGTTCTTCCAGAAAGTCCTTGAACTAAATCCAGATGCTGTGGAAGCGCATGTTCGGTTAGGGTGGCTCTATACTACGCTAACAACGTTTGACAAGGCAGAATCGCATCTGCAAGCGGCTATAGAGAAAATGCCCGAACTTCCCTTGGCATATCACGGGTTAGCCGAAATTTACACGAAACAAGGGCATCTTCAGAAGGCGATAGATGTCTACCGACATATCACAGAAATCGCACCTGACGATAGCGATGCTTGGAAGGCATTACAAAACTTAGAGCATTTGAAGAAAAGTTCACAAACGACGCGATAAATTCCTCCTTATGCGAAAAACTGACACTAATGGAACCCCGTCCCTCTACCGCCTTTTCGTATTCGCACTTATAAGCTTCCAATATTGCACAATCGCGTCTACAGAACCAATTTTCATTGATGTTACGGAATCCGCAGGGATAACATTTGTGCATACCGATGGCAGAAGCGGTGTGAGACTCTTCAACGAATTTCTCGGATCTGGTGGTGGATTTTTCGATTATGATGGCGACGGCGATCTCGACATCTACCTCGTCAATGGCGCGGTTCAGACAGGAGGTGGACAAGACCAAACCCCGCATAACGTCCTCTACCAAAACAACGGCGATAACACCTTCACTGATGTCACCGATAAGGCAGGTGTAGGAAGTAGTGCCTACGGTACCGGTGCCACTGTCGGTGATTACGATAACGATGGCGATATAGATTTGTACGTCACCAACTTCGGTGAAGATCAGCTCTATCGGAATAATGGCGATAGCACCTTCACAGACGTGACAACACACGCCCAAGTTAACAACTCGAACTGGGGCACCAGTTGCGCGTTTGCCGATGTGGATAACGATGGACACTTGGATCTCTATGTGGCAAACTACGCCGCGTATGCGCCTGAGAACGACATCCGGTGCGAAGAACGTGGGGTTCACGTCTATTGCGGTCCGCATGCGTATCCGGCGGTTCACGATACTTTTTACAAGAACAACGGAGATGGCACCTTCATCGATATGTCGGTTTTGTACCGTCCCTCGGATCTGATGCCTCAGCACGGGTTAGGCGTGACGTTCGGCGATTACGATGCCGACGGGGACACCGACCTCTACGTCGCGAACGATCAGGATCCGAATTTTCTGTTTCAAAACAGCGGGAGCGGCAATTTTTTGGAGGTTGCATTAATTTCAGGCGTATGCTACAATGATATGGGTAAAGAGGAAGCTGGGATGGGTGCCGATTTCGGGGACTATGACAACGATGGGTGGCTTGATCTCACTGTCAGCAACTACCAGACCGAAACCAATACCGTTTACCACAACCATGACGGCACCTTTTTTACCGATAATACGATTACATCAGGTATCGCAGAAGTAACACACGGCTATCTGGGATGGGGTATTAAGTTGTTTGATTACGACAACGATGGATACCAAGACATCTTTGTCGCAAACGGACACTTGATGGATAACATCGCTGTGCTTGAGACGCATGTACCCTATCCGCAAAGGAACCTGTTGTTCAGGAATTTAGGCGATGGCAGGTTCGCCAATGTCATGTCAGAGACAGATGGCTTGGCACTGGAAAAGGTGAGTCGCGGTGCTGCTATCGGCGATTACGACAACGATGGGGACCTTGATATTCTTGTCACCAATTGCAACCAACGTCCAGATCTGCTCCAAAACGCAATCGGGAATCGAAACAATTGGATACAGATCCAAGTCGTCGGACAAAAAAGCAACCGCTCTGGGATTGGGGCAAAGATTTAAAGTCGTCACCGGGAACACACGTCCAATATTGGAGATACAGAGTGGTGGGAGCTATCTCTCCTTCCACGACCTGCGTGCCCATTTTGGCGTTGGTAAAGCGGAACAGATTGATCTCCTTGAGATTCGCTGGCTCAACGGACACATTGACCGAGGGACACACCTCCCCGTCAACCGAAGGTTTATCGCAGTTGAAGGGAACAACATTGTTCCGATACGTTAGTCAATTTTAAAACACCTGCCTTAGGCAGATTTTCACGGAGGAAAAATGAGAACCCTATTTATAATGCTAATACTTATCGCGTTTACGGCATCTTTTGCCTACGCGTTGAACGAACCCGAGGATTCGCTCATCCTCTACTTCTCTTTTGATGAGCTCGACGGTAAAAACACCATCGACCACTCAAAATATGAGAACCATGGCGAAATGGCTGGTGCCCCCGAAACTTGCTGAAGGCAAATTCGGTAAGGCACTGGAACTAAACGGTAAAAGCGACTGGGTTGTCGTGCCGCATCACGAGATTCTCACCGTTGACAATAGTGTAACAGTGATGGCTTGGATTAATACTGAACGCCATCAAGGTCCCAACGGTCAAAGGTGGCAGGGTATCGTTGCGAAAAGCAACAATCCGCGTTCCTACAGTTTCTACACCGAATTCCCGAGTGAATGTTTGCACCTCAGTGTCGGTGGTGGAAGTGTTTGTAACAAAAAGGTTCCGTTAGACGAATGGGTGCATGTTGTCGCACAGGTAGATGATGGCACAACACACCGGTATTGGGTAAACGGCGAAATGGCTGGCGAATTTGGTGGCAAAAACGCTCCACCCGGTAAAGCCGATCAAGCGGATGTCCTCGTCGGAAAAACTCACGAAGGCAACCGTGAATTTCTCGGACTCATTGACGAAGTCCGCATTTGGAACCGTGCCCTCGATGAGGACGAGGTTATTGAACAGATGGAGAGCGGCTATTTCGATATCTTCGCTGTTGATCCGCGTCAGAAACTCGCCACAACCTGGGGACACTTAAAGACATCACAACGATAAAATTCGTCCGAGTGCGCGCTTTTGAATCTCTCAGCGCGCACTCTCTTTATAACAACAAAAGGAGAATGCGTAACGTCATGAACGGAAAGTTTATAGCGTCTGCGGACGTGGAACGAGACGAACTCGACTGGGGAACAATCGGTTGGCTCAGTCGCCCAGAAAGTACAGGCGGGAAAGACATCGTTGCTATGGAAGTCAGCCTCTCTCCCGGATATGGACACGACTTCCATAAACACCCCGACCAAGAAGAGGTTATTTACGTTATAGAAGGTAGTGTAGAACAGTGGCTTGAGGATAAGAAACAGACGCTCAACGCAGGTGACTCTGTATTCATCCCCGCGGATATGGTCCACGCATCCTTTAACGTCTCCTCTCAGTCAGCGAAATTATTTGTTACCCTCAGTCCCAGCAAAGGCGCAGAGGGGTATCAACTCATTGATGTTTACGATCAGGCACCGTGGAATACGCTCCGTTCATAATCGTCTTTTCAACTTTTTTCACAATTGCTTCTGAGTTGTCCTTACCGTTATCAGAGCAGTATTCCAATTGTTAACAAACCGATCATAACCCAGAGGTGGTTGGAATTAACCGAAAACCACCGTGAAACGAAGTGGAACGGTGCCCAGACCTAATAGTTTAAAAGTTCGACAGCGGATGCGTGAGTTCTACGAAACATCGGAAACCTATAAAGGGCTTCTGGCTGCGCACGACGAAACCTATCTCCGACACTACGTAGAATTGGTGATCCGCTACGCACCGCCTCGCTCCAAAGTCCTTGACCTCGGGTGCGGAAACGGTATCTCAGCGCGACTGCTCAATCAGGCGGACTTTGATGTCGTCGGAACCGACATCTCTCCGCTCTTTCTTGAAGACGCTCAAACATGGGAAAATCCGAAACTCCACTATAGGGTTTGTGATGTGATGGAACTCCCCTTTGAAAGCGAGTCCTTCGATGTTATCTGTTCAAACGAATTGGTTGAACATCTGCCCGATGTAGAAACGGCGTTAACCGAGATGATGCGGGTTGTGTGCAAGGGTGGGAGAATTGTGCTCTCTGGACCAAATCTCTGTTCACCCTTAATCCCGTTTCTTGATTGGCTCAACCTGATGTCCGGCAAACCCGGCAGACCCGTCTGGGGTGAGACGAAACGGCAAGCGTTGCAGCAATTTGTGCGTAATTGTGGGCTCTATGTCCGGAAGCGGTTCTTGACTCCGGCGACAGTGGCACCGAACTTCATTTACCGTGAACCCGATTTACAGGCGGATGCCATCGGTGGTGATGCAGACAGTGCTTATTATGCCAGCCCTATTGATCTCGCTCAATTTTTCCGATCACACGGGTTCACGATCGTCAAGAAAGCCGTTGGGTTCGGGATAAAGGCAGGATTATCGCGGGAGCGTTTCCGTACCTGAGTCCTTACATCACGATGGTCGTCGAAAAATGAACATTCGCACAGACGATTTTGTCTTAGAAATAGGGAGCGGTCATAATCCGAAAACACGCTCGGATGTCTTATGTGATAAATTCATAGGGGATGACGAACAACGCGGCGGTGCAATCGTTACCAACCGTCCGATGGTGGAAGCGGATGGACAGTTCCTACCGTTCGCAGATCGGGCGTTTGACTATGTCATCTGCTCGCATGTGTTGGAACACATTGAAGATCCGAGGCGATTCATCTCCGAACTAATGCGTGTCGCATGCCGAGGCTACATTGAAACGCCGTCTGAAATAGGTGAGCGAATCTATGGGTGGCACTACCACAACTGGGTCGTCAACTTGGTTGATGGCTGTTTGATGCTACGGAAGAATGAAAAAAATTCCCAATTTGGGCAACTTTTCCACAGATTGGCGGTAACAGATAAGCATTGGAAGCGGTTTCATATTACACATCATAACCTTCTCCTCGTCCAGTACGAATGGGAAGATGAAATAGACTATAAAATACTTCTCGAACATGAGTCAGCACTGGATTTGGAATGCCACGATACGCTTGACAGGCTTGTCACATCAGATGGTAATGTTCCGAGACATAATGAGTGGTTCCTGCTTCTTAAAAGCGCAGTGCCGCGAGGCATCGTTTCCCGTGCAAAATCGCTTTTGACAAAAGGCAAACGTCGCCAGACGAAGACATTGCAAGAAATTCTCGTCTGTCCGCGGTGTAAAGGTGAGATTACGTGGGAAGAACACAGTCTCCACTGCAAAATGTGCGAACAGTCCTATCGGATTGTTGATGGAATTCCGCGTTTCGGCACAGTCACAAGCCGAGAATGAAAAGTCTTAAGAATGCCCTCAGCAACCCAACAACGGCGGTTTGCGGGACTTGATTGGAAATCCTTGTGCAACCGGGGTGTTAATTGTCTGAAGCAGGATTTACAGGATTTATCGGATTTGCAGGAGTGGACATCCTTGTTGCCTGAAACGCCCGTCATAGAATTACCGAATTATTTATTGAAACTTCATAAGAATGTCCTGAGCAAGCCAACAACGGCGGCTTGCGGAACTGAATCGAAAACCCTTGTGAAACCAACACCGTCCGTTAACGCTTAGCGCATAATTAGAATCTTGGAATGAAAAAGTTTGTAAGGATGTCCCGAGCAAGCCAACAACGGCGGCTTGCGGAACCGAATCGAAAACCCTCGTGAAACCAACACCGTCCGTTAACGCTTAGCGCAAAATTAAAAATATGAATGTAGTACCGAAAGAATTTATCCGCGTGATGCCAGATGCAATGCGAGGCTTCGTCAGTGAAGCTTTCCAGAAGGCAGGGACCTCGGAGGCGGATGCCGCGCACATAGCGCACCTGCTGGTTCTCACGGATCTGCGCGGTGTGTTCAGCCATGGCACGCGCCAAACGCCGGGATATGTGGGAATGATGCTTGACGGCAAAGTAAATCCACGTCCAAACGTCCGCTGCATCGATGAATCCCCGACGACGGCGGTCTACGACGGCGATGGCGGTATGGGACATTTTGCCGCGTATCATGCTGCAAAGGCAGCGGTCAAAAAAGCCAAAGAGATGGGACTCGGTGCCGCAACGAGTCGGAATCACTTCCACTTTGGGAGTGCAGGCAAGTATTCACGGCTCGCGCTCGAAGCGGATTGCGCCGGGTTTGCGGTCTCTTGCCACCGTTTTCGACACAGCCCCGACAGTCCGATTGCCACCGCAACTGGAGCCTCGCCGATGAGTTTTGCGATTCCGGCGGGCAACCAGCCACCCATAGTCGTCGATATGGCAACCGGCATTGATGCCAAGCTACCGTTTGAACAGGCGTTTGAACAGAGTCCCGCTGCGTTCTTCAAGATGTTGGGTTTGAGTCATGTGAGTCATGCACTCGGTGGGATTATGGCAGGCATCTGGCTATTCGATAAGCCCCCGGATCCCCCAACAATCTGGGAAGGTGCCAATCAAGGTGCTTTCATTACAGCGTTTGACATTTCCCGATTCCGACCGATTGACGAGTATAAAGCGGAGATCGACCAACATATCCACGATGCACGACAGATGCAACCGGCACCGGGTCATGACCGATCGGATCTGCCCGGTGGCTTAGAATGGGAACGCGAACGGGAATGGGCTGAAATCGGCATCCCCGTTGGCGAAGAACATCAGGAACAGTTGAAAATAATTGCTGAACGAGTCGGCATTCCGCTTCCATTCTAAATGCGGACTTCATTTAGGGTCATTTAGTTTTAAGAAATTATCGGCGTTTGAAGGTTTTTTCAAGACCCGGAGCGGTTAGAATGCAGATCGCATTCGGGCGAGTACGCCGCAAAACCGTTCCTACCGTGCCGGGGGATCAAAGACCCGTAGAAAAAATGGAAAACTAAATAGCCCTAAACACAGCAAACTAATGCTTGACACAAAATGAAAATCTTGAAATAAAGATTCTAAGAACGCCCTAAGCAAGCCAACAACGGCGGCTTGCGGAGCTTAACCAAAAGCCTTTGTGCAACCAAAACCGTCAGTTAACGCTTGGCGAATAATTAAAAAATTATGGATACCAATACAAACAACATAGAAGATCGAAATATCGTGATTATTGGCGGTGGCACCGCTGGGTTTGCCGCGGGCGTCTATACGTCTCGCGCAATGCTTGAACCTGTTCTTATTACAGGTGAGGCACTCGGTGGACAACTCTCTTTAACCCTCGACTTGGAAAACTATCCCGGCTTCTTCTGGTAACGAGGCAGGGGTTTTTATACAAGGCATGCAAGAACAGGCAGAGCGGTTCGGCACAGAAGTCAAATTTGACACCGTAACAGCGGTTGACTTTTCGCAACACCCGTTTGCCGTCACCACCTACGAAAAAAGAATACCGTGCGAAATCTGTGATTATATGCACGGGTGCATCGCCGCGCATGCTTGATATTCCGGGTGAAGAGGAATATGGCGGACGGGGTGTCTCCTACTGCGCAACGTGTGATGGGTTCTTCTTCCAAGATCAGCGGCTTGTTGTCGTTGGAGGGGGTGACGCGGCATTAGAGGAAGGCATCTTCTTAACCAAGTACGCCTCCGAGGTGTATATCGTCCACCGCCGCGATCAGCTCCGTGCGAGCCAGATTATGCAAGAACGCGCCTTCAAAAACGATAAAATTAAGTTTATCTGGGACACCGTTGTTGAGGAAATCAATGGCGACGCAGAAAAAGTGACCGGTGCTACCCTCAAAAACGTTAAAACCGGTGAGACGCAACTCTTCCCGATTGACGGTGTATTCATCTTTATTGGACATATTCCGAACACAGAACTCTTCACAGATGTCATAAATATGAACGAGCAAGGGTATATCATTGTGGACGAGATGCAACGCACGAACGTAAACGGTGTTTATGCCGCAGGCGATGTCCATGACGATGTCTTTCGACAAGCGATTACCGCCGCAGGAACCGGTGCTGCCGCTGCGATCGCCGCTGAAAAGTTCATCGCAGAATTTGAGAACCGCGCCTATCCAGGGAATTAAACGCAATCCCTGATTGAGGGATGCCCTCACCGTCGCTGGCGAGGATTGTATCCTCGCCTACTTGTGATGTCCAAGGAATTATGAATTTTACCATAAACGCAATCCCTGATTGACGGACGTATAGGAGAAACTTGTGCCAAGAGAAAGACTCGCTCTCGGTTTAGATTCAAGCACGCAAAGCCTATCTGCTGTCGTTATTGATATAGACACAGCGGAAAAATGCTTTGAGCATTCGCTGGATTATCGCACCGATGCACGACTCAACCAATTCGGTATCGGAGAAGACTATATCTTACCGCCGAGAGAAGAAGGTGAAGCCGAACAGCCGCCGCTGATGTATCTCGCCTCACTTGACGCTATGTTCACTGACATGCGCGAGGCAGGCGTACCGCTTGAACACATCCTTCTCATCAACACATCGGGGCAGCAACACGGGCATGTCTATCTGAACCGTGACGCAGATGCGCTACTGGCGCAACTCGCAAGTTTCCAGAACTTCGACGAAGATACCCGCGACCTGCAAATCCTGCTAAAAGATGCTTTGCGTATCCCACTGCTCCAATCTGGATGACCGCGAATACGACTGCGCAAGCTGAGGCTGTCCGAAAGGGAGTCGGAGGAAAATCGGAGATGATTGACCTTTCCGGTTCGGACGCGCCGCTCCGCTTCACAGGCACTGTCGTGCGCCGTGTTGGAGAACAATTTCCTGAATGCTATGCGGCGACAGCTAAAGTCCAGTTGATTAGTAACTTCATCCCCGCAGTGCTGACCGGTAACGCCGAGGTGCCTATTGATTACGGAAACGGATGTGGGATGTCGCTTATGAACTATCGGAGCAAGGTGTGGGATGCCGCACTATTGGCAGCGACCGCGGACGGCTTACCGGGTGGTATGGAAGCACTCCAATCGAAATTGCCCACGCTCGCACGTCCAGATTCCATTGTGGGGAGTCTCGCCGCGTATTACATAGAGAAATATGGCTTCGATGGCCGCTGCGCGGTGATCGCGGGTTCTGGCGACAATCCGCAGTCGAAAGTGCCTGTTGCCGGAGATTTGCTTAGCCTCGGAACCAGTTTCGTCAACATGGTGTCAACCGACGGGGATACGCTCGACCCAGAGGGATTTGCCAACGCAATGTACGATGGCATCAACCGTCCGTTTATGTTCGGATGTCGCACAAACGGTGCAATGGTATGGGATGCCGTGAGGAGTCATTACGGCTTGGCGAAAGAGGAATACGCGCCCGCAGAAGTTGCGTTGCAGACAGTTGTCCCCGGACAGTTTATGACTTTTTGGCAACCTAAGACTGAGTCCTTTCCAGTCTCTGGTGCGTTTGAGTTAATCCGCGCCACCGCACAATCCACATTAGCAGAAGATTATACCGGTATTATTGAAACGAGCCTCGCCGCAGTTTACATTTACTCCGCTGTCTTCACAAAGCAGACGCAGGAACCGTTGTTTGTAACGGGCGGCGCAACAGACAGTCCTGAAATCATGCGGCGTGTCGCGGGAATCTGGAATAGACCGACGCTTCCGGTAGAGAAAGGCGGTGCGGCACTCGGTGCGGCTGTAGCAGGGGTCAAGGCCCTTTTTGACGCAGATTCCGATACGGAGACAGAGTCTTTTGATATTGAGGCGTTCAGTACGGCGGTCTTGAAGCGCGGTGAACCGATCCAACCGAATCCTGCAGACGTTGCCGCCTATCATGGTGAGGGGAAATACCTCCAGCAGTTTCAGGAGAAATACGAGCAAATCCTGGTAGATTTTTAATTATTCGCAAGGTGCTAAAGGTAACTTTAAAGGGAAATGCGTAAGTTATAGATGATTTCACATAACCATAGCCCGTAATGTAATGGAGGGCGGATATAAGGAACACACGTCAAAGATTCAAATGAACGTCATTCCTCCGCAAGGTAAAATTAAAAAACAATTAACGCACTTTGACGAAAAAGGCAACACGCAGATGGTGAATGTGGGTGGCAAAGACGAGACACTGCGCATCGCCATCGCTCGTGGGCATATTACTGCCCGCCCTGAAACACTCCGTCTCATCGCTGAACAAGGCATGAAGAAGGGCGATGTTTTGGAGGTCGCACGGCTTGCGGGTATCATGGCGGCAAAACGCACCGGTGAACTGATCCCGTTGTGCCATCCCCTCGCATTGACTTCGATTCGCGTTGAACTCGTTATCGCAGATGATGTGCCGCAGATTGAAATTGAAGCAGAAGTCCAGACGGTGGGTCGTACAGGCGTAGAAATGGAAGCACTCACCGCCGTGTCAGTTGCGGCTTTGACCGTTTATGACATGTGTAAGGCAGTGGACAGAGAGATGGTTATCGGCGATGTCAGGCTTGTCAAGAAGACAGGCGGTAAAAGTGGCTCTTTCACAAGAGATACAAAAGACACAAAGGACACCATTTCAAAGGACACCGTTTCCAATTCTAATACGTAGTTGTCCCAAACGAGGTATAAAGAAATGCGTCAGATACTCATCATCATCCTTACAGTTTGTCTAATTTCTACGACCGCATTTGCCGCCGATCACGTCCTGATCATTGGCGGTGTTGCCGGTGAAAAATCCTTTTACGACGCATTCTGGGGTGCTCACCTCCCGGTTCCATCAGTTGCTCACCAATGAATACGGCTACACATCCGACCAGATTACTTTTCTCTTTGAAGATATGGGCGATATAGACCGAGGCGGGCAGGGAGAGTTAGAACTGGTTGACTCGGAATCAAATCGCGAACAGGTTTTAGCCGCATTCGATCAACTCGCCAAGACTGTGCAACCGTCAGATCGGTTTCTGCTGTTCATGCTTGGGCATGCTTCCCGGACCGGTAGAGGCAGTGTAAAGTTTAATCTGCGAGGACGGGATATTACTGAAGTGGAATATGTAACGCTCATTAACAGTGTTCCTTCCGAGCGTCAGATTTTAATCTTTGGTTTCCCTTATAGCGGGAGGCTTGTGCCACAACTGAGCGCACCGGGACGAATAATTCTCACCTCAAGTTCACCAAATGAGGGCTACTCGCTACAAGCAGGATTCGGCGATGTCTTTGTTGGTGCCTTCTCTACCGCAGATAACGATATAAACGGCGATGGTGACATCTCACTGTTAGAAACATTTCTATCGTTACAGACACAAACGAAGGACTGGTATGAGAACAACGGGAGTATTCAGTCTGAACATCCGCATCTTGATGATAACGGGGATGGGAACGCCACTCGAAACCTAACGATTGACCTTGAGGTCCCACGTGTAGAACAGACAGATGATGGCGCACTCGCCGAAAAAACGTTCTTGGGGACCCGTCGGACAGTCTTACCGAGCACGCCACTCCCACCTGAGCCTGATGAAGTTTTCGCCGACGTGCCGCCTACTGAACCTCCCGAAGCGCACGAACATGGAAATCCAAATGCTTCGACTGCCTCTCACACCCCTGAGAATCGTCCATCGGCACTGCCTTATAACTATATCAGCGAAGCAGACGAGGAAGTCATCCGAGAAGCCATTGACACAGCACCTTCTCAAAAAGACTATCCAGGAGACGGTGCTGTCGTTCTTTGGGAAAGCGTTGATGTTGATATCGATGAAAAGAGCCGTTATATCTATTCCACACGGCGCGTCGTCAAAATCTTCAATGAGGATGGCGCAAATCTCGGTGAGATCAGTATCCCTTATATGCGTGGAAAAGACGATGTCACTATCCATCATGCCCGTACATTTTACCCCCGATGGTAGAGTTGTTGAGCTGGATTTGAATAATGTGATACCGGATATCCCGCCGCCCGAGTGCTGTGGACGCAGGTTTATACGTCGACGCACGCTTGATGCACTTCACACTTCCAGAAATCTCCGATGGCTGCATCATAGACTATGCCTATTCCACGAACAATCTTGGGCACGTCATGCGAGGCGAGTTTTTGGCGTAAGGTCTATTTCCAAGGATCACAACCCGTGCAATATTATCGGTTCGTTGTACATATCCCGAAAAAGAAGTCTCTCAATTATCAGGTTTCGGGTACATCGGCGGTTCCAACAAGTTTGCAGTCAAGTTCCTTTCTTGATATTGAACCCACAATTACCGAGAATAACTACATCCGCACCTATACCTTTGAAGTGCGGGATGTACCATCCTTGAAAGAGGAATACCTGATGCCAGCTCCTCAAGATCTTGCTATAGCATTAGTATCTCCTCAATCGATTCTTGGGATAAATTAGTGACGTGGTATGCGACGCTTATTCGGGAACAGGATACCATTACACCAGAAATTACGAAAAAGACCGAGCAAATCCTCCGCGGTGCCTGGTCCCGAAAGGAGAAAGTGAAGCGGCTTTATGAATACGTCGCGACGAATATCCAGTATCTCGGCTATGAACTCGGTATTTGGGCAATTAAGCCGTATCCAGCGGATTTGTTCTGAAAGTAGGTAAAGGGGATTGTAAGGACAAAACGACACTCCTCTCCACAATGCTTTCATCTGCAGGTATTAATTCCTATCCTGTCCTCATTTCCGCTGGCGATACACGAGGTGTTAACGCCCACCTCTCAGACGGTGGTTCGGAAGTCGAGGCGGGTCCCTTCACTTGTTACTTCAATCACATGATCCTGCCGTTGAGGGCGGAAACCAGATGATGAATTTATTGGCTCGATCCAACAGCAGAGAGTGTGCTTTTGGTGATTTCCCTGCCCAGCGACCAAGACAGATGGGCACTATCATCAACCCGCGGTTTCTAAAAGAGATAAAGCATCTGCGGTGAAAGTTCGATGATTGTAGCGTCGATAGACAGTATGGAAAATAGGCTCTACCTCTTTCAGAGGATTCCTTCTTAGATGCAATATCAAATCTGAAGCGGGTTCACACCCGCGTAGAGGTTGAAAAGGATATGAGCGTCTCTGTTCACCAGAGTTGACGGTGACAGGGATTTTCAACATGAAAACTTCGGAGCAACTTTCACGCTTCCAGACTTCTGAGGAGAAAGCGGAGTTTTTTCCACAAAGCGTTGGAGAATTAGACGAACGCGCCAAGTGAGACGGATGTCAAAGTCTCTGACTCTCCAAAGTTGGAAGGCGAATTGAAGGTCGAACTCACGTGGACTGTAAGGAGTCTTTGTACGCTATCGCAGTCAATTTGTCCTTGAATTACCGATCGTCAAGCATCCCTATGCCGATGTTAGTTGAGCGAGAAAGCCGCCGAATGTATCCCGCGGTATATCGGCAAGAGCATTAATTATTACGCTTGAAGACGATCAGTGTCAGCTTACGAGGCACACTTTAGCGTGCTACCGTTCTGAGAGCAGACACTGACAGACTCGAGATCGCCCGAAATGTCAGGATCCGCTATTGCGAAATCACAGCGCAACAGCGAGATGCTACGCATCATCGTTCCTGACACGAGGGTCACACCGGACTACATCTCCATCTCCAAGATGTCGTCAGAATCGCCTTCAAACCGAGGACCGCGAAACGATTTATACTAACACAATAAATAAGGAGGTTACGCAGTTTTAGAGTCGCTGATAACGATTTAAACTGAAGACTAATACAAATGCAGCAACAGAAGAAGTTCAAGCAATAGAGAGTTGATGAAAAGCCACAGAGCTGATGTTGGCACAAACTCAAAAAGGTAATCATTGGGCAGAGAGGAAGTTATCAATCAGATGTTGATGCATTTTGCTGGAGGGACATGTTATTAGAGGGTGTCCCAGGACTTGCCAAAACCCTCATGGATTAGAACCTGGCAGACATCTGACATCTTAAGTTCAAGCGGGATCCAATTTCACCCCGGATCTAATGCCAAGCCGACATCACGGGGACAGATGTACTCGAAGAAGACCGAACGACGGGACCATCGCACGATCCGATTCATCCAGGGACCATTTTCGCCAACATCCTCTCGCGATGAGATTAATCGGACACCCCGAAGACACAAGCCGCACTCTTAGAGGCGATGCAGGAATACCATGTTACGCGGGTGTGGCACCGATTCCAATTGGAACAACCCTTCTTTGTGCTTGCCACGCAAACCCCAATTGAGCAGGAGGGAACATATCCACTTCCAGCGGCGCAATTGGTTGGATCGGTTCATGTCAAAAGTGGCATAGATACGCCGACAGCGACAGAGAGGAAGCACGGACATCGTTTCGCATACGCCGGGGCAGCGAGGAGCCGAACTTCGAAACGGCACTCTCCGGCGACGCAATCGTGGGCACTCCATAAATGTGTGAGGCGCGTGCTGCGCTGACAAAGCGTGCACATACGCTGTGAAGATTGCTGCGCGCATCCGTCCATAACAAGTAACGGGAGACACGCTCCGACGTCAGATCCAGCATGGGTGCGATGGGGCGCGGGACCCCGTGCCGGGCAGTGTACTCAAAATCTTAGGTGCTGCACAAGCCCGCGCGATTCTACGGGGTCGTTTACAATGCTCTGTGTGAAGATGTGAAATCTGTCGCACTGCGGTTCTACGCATCGCGTCTGAACTAATTTCCTGCCGAATGCGTGAAGGCGTGGACTCGCCACGTCATCCAACGTCTACGTGATCACAGTGCCGGAACCGTGCGACGTGTAGCTGTCATCAACGGTCTCAGCCTCTCTTGTAGGAGGGATCTCCGAATCCCGACGACTTCACTATGGTTGTGTGCAGTATCTCAACATGCGAAGTTTCCAAGGCCGCTGAAATAAATGAATACAGGGCTTTAGGGTGTGCTGCTGAATAGTCTACGAAGCAGGAAAACCATCCAAAAAATGTCGGTTATCTTCCACGTTCTCCATGAGAGAGCAAAACGCCATTGCCAAAGTCCTCACTGATATTCGAAGACCGTGCGGATCCCTGATGAACAAACTGAAGCCACAGTCCATGGAAGTGCATCCTCGTCGTTGACACGCTGCACGGACAACACCGCGCAGTTCGCAAGCGACACGGGGCAGGGTATAACTGCGACCACGACACGGGCTGTGTTTTTCTGGGTCCGCCTGCGTCGCGGGAATTGCTGCCTATACGACGACCCCGCAGATATCGTCGTGTTTCTTGATGGCGACTATAGCGAGTATCCCACAGATATGCCGCAACTCCTCTACCCTATACTGGAAGTTAAAACCGACTTTGTCATTGAGAGCGAGAGTGCTGGCAGAGCATCGGACGCTTTGCTACCACCGGCGCCTTTTTGGCCAATTGGCTTGCCTGTTTTTGATATTAAAGTGCTTCTATCTCGTGCGCTATACGGCTTTAGGTCCCCTTTCGGCGATCCGGTCATCCGACGCTCTCGCTCTGAACCTATGCGGACAACAACCTTCGGATGGACAGTCGAGATGCAGCTCAAAGCCGCAAAAACAGGGCGTTTCCGGTGTGTGAAGTGCCAGTTCGCTATCGCAAGCGGATCGGGGCCTACTAAAATCACTGGCACATTCACCGGGCACCCTCAAAGCAGGCCTACAAAATACTCACCACCCTAATCTACACCGCTTTTGACAAGTTAGATGAATTTACCAAAGTCGCTTACCCAAAGGCTCTATATGTTTACGTACCCCGTAGGAAAAGCTATGCTGATAGTTTCCATTCTCGGTAGGTGC